TTTTAAAGACAAGATTTCAGATTCTTTTTGCAACTCACTCCCTGTACAGTCCTGGTGTGAGCACCTGATGGGCACATCCGCTTCTATGTGATTTATGTAACAGTGGCTTATTTTCCTGCAATTTAACTGAGTAAAAAAACTTAAATAGGAGATGTCTAAACTCTGCAACTTGTACCTACATGCATTAGAAAAAGGTTGTGTTTTTGTTCGTTCTGGGGTGTTGATGCTGAACTGTCCTAGAGAACAACAAACGCTTTCGTTTTCCCTTGGAGGGGAGGTGGAATAGYTCTAAATAAAGTTCCGTTGCTTCCATTCATTTCCCTTGATTTTTAAATGGGTTTTTGTGTAGCAACGTCATTAAAAAGAGGGTAAGAGGTTAATATTCAACTGTGTGTTCAACTAAAAATTGAAACCGGCTGTCAAGACTGGCAGCTGATGGGACTTTTTTTTTTGAAAACATGAGGTTTTCTTGCATTTTACTTGCACATTAGTCTGCTAATATTTAATCAGCATTTGCCTTGTCGCATGTTTTATACAGTGTTTTGTCGTAACTGGCTTGATGACTGCTTAATCTTCAGTCTACTTGCCTTTTTAACAGCTGCAGTGTAGTAATTTGAATAGGTTAAATGATATATCTCACTTGAATGTAGCAAAATGTTGCTTTTTAGGAGCAATTAAATTATCAGAATTGTTAYACAGGGTGAACGAATGAAGAACAGGGCAGAGAACATCAGGGGAAAAAATGGACAAAGCCCTCATTAAATTTATTAAAAAAAAAATCAAAAGCTATTTGCATAAAAAAAAATAGGAAGGATGATGGTGCATAGTAATGCTTTCCACAAGAAGTGTTGCCCTCTTGTCAATGCATTCAGTGCTAATACCAAGCAAAGAACAGACCAGAAAAGTAATTTTCATTTGAGTACCTCATCCTGAAGAAGCGTGGTCCTCTATTAAGAGGGAAAAAAACACAGCTAGGACTTTGAAAAATACCTGTCTCCCTTAATGTGTGTTTGARGCTTCAAAACTCTTTCAGGATCCACCCCTAACAATCCAACACAGCAGAGTAAAGTAATAATCAAGTTTGTTGGATTCCTCCCAAAATGAAAAGCACCCATTACTCTTTCTCTCTGGCCCCCCTCAAAGCACCATGTGCATGTGAATATTTCTGTAAATCAGACAGAATATTGCTGCTCCAAGAGGGCTCTGAAAAAAGCAGGGATTTTARTTGTTGCTTTCCTTTCTGAGCTCGCCAAAGCCCAGCGGAATTAGCAATACTGTTGTTTTTGTTATGCCCAGCTGTGTTGTGGTATATGACACAAAATGTTTGAGATCTGTACTGTTTAAATGGTTTTTTCATGCAGATAAATAATAAGGATGGAAAAATGAAAAAGGGGAAGTTAAAAATCATTTACTATATGCAGGCAGTTCATAACAGGGGAAAAGAGGGCTCTTGGAACACCAGCTTTCTCCATATTCAGCACACCAGGTTCTTATCAGGTATTTTTGTCTGCTGTGTATTTTTGTAGATCCAGCAAATATATTCACGAGATGTCAAAGTTTTATGTGATTGAGTTATGAAAGTATTCTAAGGAATTTTAGAGGTGAGATGATAACTTCATGAGTATGGGTTTTTTCCTGATCTTTACTTAGTATTTCTCCTGTGAGGTGATCAAGCAAAAGCTTCTAGCTTCTTTTCTCCAGCTTTGCCTACTGTACCAAAGAGTGTAGTTTTAGCTTTTCTTTCTGTTTCATTTTCAATATGGATGAAGGAGGAAATTCTGGGTACACAGCTTGTTTTAGATTGTTAGCAGRTAATATTTTCTACAATCCAAAGGCTTACATGTTGTTCCAAAATCCTAAGCACATCTCAGAAGTTGAAGAAACCTTTCAGAGGAATTGAAAGTTAATTGTTATTTCTATCTTGTGCTCCTCGCAGAGATAGCAAAGGAGCTTTCAAATAACCCAATCCCTTGATACTTGATAGGAAAAAATTACTATTATCTATGATTCCTGTGATGTGTTAGAAATTTCACACATGGGTCTTAGTTGGTTTYGATGCAGGGCTTTAAAGTGCTTTTGTTCCCAGCTGGAGACCTGTCCCTTTTCTGAAGTTTCTCATCCTTATCCCAGGCGAATGAAGAGGTCGGGGTCTGGACATACYACAGTGTTTTGCTGAAAGCTTTTCTTATGAGTAGAGTAAGAGGAGCTTGAGTAAAATGCTAGATTGCAAACTGAGGTGGGGAAATGAGGTAGGGAAAAGTGAGGAYGGGAAATGAGAGACCTGTGTCCATTCTGATAACCTTCTGTGGAAGACCCTGAGTGCTGTTAATAGACAGTAGCTGTTTAAACTACCGCAGCTTTGCCTTCTTTTATTTGTATTATATATACCCCTTATTTTTAATATGAGTTTATTTTTGTTGAGAGATGACTCAGATCAACAAACTATTAAGCTAATAAGGAAATGTATGAGTTGACAGTAATTATGACATGTATCGTCTTCAGAATAGAAGACTTGCTAAAGTAATTTACCTAAAACTTAGGAGACTTAGGTTCAATTCCTGATTTTACTTCACATTGCTAAGATCATTAATGGATCATATGTTCCTCTTCTAAGAGCAAACAATCTAAAGATTGTAGATGTACATGTATTTATGCCACTTTGAAACATATTGATAATACTTCTGAATATATTTTAATTGCAAAATATTGCAAATACTGCACAAATGACCCTTGCTTCTGACTTTCTTAGTTGTTGTGTGTCTACTTTTGTATTTCGAGACTGTAAAAGTAGCAGTAGTTCCTCTTACCATTTCAGATGATTCTTGATTCTAAAGGTTTTAGTGGGAAAGGGAACATAGGCATTACCACTAAAATTAATAGAAACATAACAGAAATAAACTAACAATTAAGGACCAGTGAAACTGAGATATTTACCRCCCTACATCCATTCAGACTTGCAAATAGCATTGTAAAAGGCATTTTCTTCAGGAAGGATGAAGAGCTAGCCCAGGTGTTCTGCCATCTCCCATAAACCAGTTTATCTTCTGGAGATTTTAAGCGGGATGTGCAGGATGTTGGCTTAGACTCCYGTCGCTTACTCTGCCTTTCCTTTCCCTTCCTCTCCCCAAGTCCCTTGTTGTCACTTGTTTCACATTGGAGTCAGCTGAGCAATATTGATTTGCAACAAATGCAAAYTGATTCATTAAAGTCAATAATAAATGTGGCCCGATTTAAATAATAAAGAGCAGTCTGTTACATACAAGGGTGTCAAAGTGGGTACARTAGCTTATTTTTCCCWTTTATTCAAAATAGATGTACATTTTTTTACAAGCCACTCTAATTAATAGCACACAGTGATTTATTTGCATATCCAAGAAATTTCATAGTGCAGTTTGCCCATATTGYAAAAATATTTACTGATTTAATTCACACCTGTTAAAATGAAACACGAGCTATGAAATTCTCCTTGGTTTGGCCCTCAGAACTGTCTAGCATCTCCCAGGGTGTGACTGCCACTTTTAATAGCATCCTAAACAGCAGATTTAACAGAACTGGAGAAATGGTAATTGCTGAGCTCTGTATGCACGAGAAAATAAGAATTGCTGAGCTTGGGTTACTGCAGCTTCATCCGTTTATTTGGCTTTGGTTCATGGCATCACCACCTAACATCTAGAAGTCAAAGGACAGCTTCCAATAAACACTGAGACATTCGGATTCTGAAAGATGACAGTTCTTTATAACATCATTACTTAGCTAAGTATTCTTGTTATCCTTTAGTTACATTCAAACTTGGCTGTCAGACTACCATTTTGGGTGTCAGAAATGGAATATTACCTGCAAAATGAATTGCTATGTTAAAATCATTGTCACTTAGAAAAACTCAGAATGTCTTTTTTTTTTTTTTTAATGTGAGACATTTAATATAACTGCTATTTTAATCTTTTTTTCTGTGATTCATATACTTATACTTTCTGTGTATGTGACCCCTTAAGTTTTGAAGCCAGTGGCTAAATTTTAATCAGGTTTGATCTTAAAAGTAATTCACTGCAGGAGAAGTTGCATGTACCATATAAGAAAAACCTCATTTGGAGGTCACACCTTCTTAGATATTGAAGTCAAGTAGCTATTGGGCAGAAACCCATAAACTTTTTTAGTTCTGACACTCAAAACTATTGATGCTTAGAAAACAATTTAGATAAATAGTTTAACAGTTTTGGATCACTGAAAAKGCTATGTATCTGTTCAAAATATGGGTCTTGTAAGCAGAAAATATTGAAAGTGACTTAGGAAATGGTGTGCTGATAGCAAGATTTTTGATTAAAGTAASAGGAAAATTATTTAAATACCACAATTGAAAAATTCCTCTTTTGGCAATCCTATGTTTGGTAAACCAAAAATGCCCCCCCCTTTTTTTTTTTTTTATGAGAATTATATAGAGAAATTAAATTGAACATCTCTTCTTTTAATTGAACAGAACTTTGCTGGTAGTGTGAATTTTTTTTCAAATCACCCAAAAGTGGCTCCAGTCTTGCTTGCAAGTTCTAAAAAACTTAATGTAGAATTTTTTTGGGGGGCAAATCTCRGCAAAATTTTCAAGTGATAGTGTGGAATCGAAATGCTGTAGAAGGAAGGTTTCCACATTGCTCACCATAGAGCTGGTTGTGCAASCAAGTCATTTCCCAGCCCTGAAAAAAGCAGCTAGGTTACAATCACAGGGAGATATTTTTTACATACACCAGACCTGTGATGTCAGGTCACCTCCGTTTGTCAGCACATCTTTAATCAGATCTTCTATTGAAAATAAATGTTATTTTCTGGTAGTGCTGACTAATGGCAGACTAACCTTCTGCAGCTTTAGTGCCTCTGGCTTGTGCCTGCTGTCACTTGTAATATTTGGCTAATACCAAATAATGCAAAATACTGTTTCTTTTAGTACTTAATAGGATGTAGCATAATGAAGATAAATGGTGCATAATGCTCTTTGCCTTTGTTCTAGGAAAATGAACTGAAGGATGCTGTKCAAGAAAAGAATCGCCTGAGCCTTCAGTATGCCAGCGTGTCCCACAGAGCCCTGCAATATGACCAGGTAACKTCCCATGTCGTCATGTGTTGTAGAAACCAGGCTGCAGAGTGATAAAGGTAGAATGTGTAGACATTTTTCTGGTTGTTTTTTGCTTGAATGCACAAAATATAGCAATTAAAATAGTTTACAAAAATAATTTCATGAACAAATATTAATTCAAAATTTTAAACCCACTGATAAGCTTGATAGGGAAATGTTTTTTATTTAACATTTTATCTTTGCCTTCCCCCCTGCATTTTTCCTATGCATTTTTCATTTCTCTGTAGAATGTCGAAATGCTGTTTTTCAGCTGTGTATGTCCAAAATTCTGCTGAGCAGTTGTCATTTCCTTTGTAGCATGGCAGGTGGCATAGCTCCTTGTCTCTGCTATTCCAGGTTCTGTTAGAAAATCTGCTTTAATAAGAAGATTTTTTTTCTTTTCTTTTTATTTTTTTGTGCCTGTTACAGGACCAAATMATTCTTTCTGACATTAGTGATTATATCTGTGGCAAATGCTGCGTGGCGTGAGCAGCGTGTCAGACGGCGCTGATGTCTCTTACCTTACCACGTATGCACACGGTGGAGAGAAGAAACGTCGCGAACTTGCCACTTTACAGGGCTAGCTAAAAATAAAGCTCCAATCTGGGGTTTCTGCACGGTTTTGAGTGAGTTGCTCAGCAACCTCACATCAGAACAGCCCGAGCTCACGTAGGCTCTACTGAAAACCCATCCCCAAAATGCACAAAACACAGTGATAATTGAGTGTTTCGGTATCTCTCTTGTTCAGGAGACATGGAGGAGCCTCGTGATGGAACTGCAGACCAAAGGAGGTCTTATTTAGTCCCTGAGATGTGAAGGTGGTTATGCAGCTCCTCTGCATTTCGTGCATAGCACCTGGTATCTAAGGAGACTTGACATTTTCTGTTTCAGGTTTATGGAAGAACATAAATTGTTTTTATATAAATAAGCAGCCAAACAACGTTTCATGATAGAAGGAAACCATGTGGATCATAGCATCACTTAGCTTAATTTATCCATCTGTTGAGAATTCCTCCCTCTCCTAATGCGTTTCTCATCTCTTTACTGTTGCATATACATTGTGCTTACTCTTTATTTCTCTAGGCACATGAGGGTAAGGAACCTTACRCAGGCAGTTTTGCATTCCAGCTGACACAGATATAACATATATATTATAATAATGCAGAGAAAGCTCTGTGTACTTGTGACACTAGAAATGTTAGCCCTCTTTTATTATTGAAAGGTGACGAACTATAAAATATCTACATTTTGTTATAGATAGAGGCTGTCTCCTACGCAGAGTAGAGAACTTGAGATATGTTGAACAATCCAGCTAAAACAAAATATAGAAGTAGAATTTCAACCTAAGTGAAATTAGTTGTAAAATTACCTTTTACGATCATGTAGTCAGAATTTGTCGTATTATCGATGTTTCTTTCTTCAGATATATGAAATTCTGTGGAAAGCTCCTTGCAACAATTGTGAGTTCCTGCACTATTTAGTAACGTAGCCTTAATAGGATCAAAGACTTCCTTTATGTCTACCCTCTTGCCTTTGGCAACTTTAAAAATAGGTCAGAGATGAAGATCTTTGCAGCATACTTTATTTTAACAAAACTGTTCTGGATAGCAGAGCAGGTGTTTTGAGGGAATGATTTGCCTTTTTTTTTTACCACACATAGAATGAGGTTGAAGATAGATTCTTTGTGCATTTCAGGTTACTTTGTCCTATTTCAGAAGCTGTGAAACTGTAAAACTACTGCAGGTTGAAGTTGCAGAAGAGTTCTGGCAGAGGGACAAAGCACTGAAAGGGAAAACCGATCCAGCAAAAATTACTCATTTTCTTCAGTGGGAACTGTTTTAGAAAAAGAGGTTCACTTTCTCCAAATGGGGTTGCAGGAGCGTATATTCTATAATATAGCACAGACGAAACTATTGCTTATTTATTATACAGCGCATTTGTTCAAATTTGACAGCACATTTGTTCAAATTACAGCGCATTTGTTCAAATTTGAGTAGGTGCAAGGCATTACTTAAATCCTCAAAATAAGGGTTAAATTGCATATCAGTGAAAGAAAGCTGTATTTAGCTAAGGGGAAATTTAGTAAGTGCAAGGAGTGGCTTAAAAAGGAAATTGGTTGATGCAGTGAACAGAGAATCACCACAGATCAAAACGTTCCGTCTATTTCTTTCATTAGATGAGAACTGTTGAGCATGGCTCTCTATTTAGGTCAACTTTTTTGCCACTGGGAACTTGGGTATTTTGATGTGTAATCAAATTCGTGTATCCCCATATGCTCTTAAACAGCTTGCTGCAGCAATCGTTCAATTTGKTTTTTTTCTATAAACACAAGTAATAACATGATATATTTTGGGGTTTATGCTGTCTTATGGGTTCTTTTGTCACTGTATTGTCCATAATACAGAGCCTGCAGGAGGAGAAGGTAACGACAAACATGTCCCATAGAAACACCAAGAGTCCCAAGCATTCCTATATATAAGGAAGGCAGTTGGCAGAGTGTTGCTGAAAGGCAGTTGTTCTTGAGCTCTAGCTAATGTAGTTGCTGTGCTTTGAGGTCCTGAGTGAAAGATCTACCTGTCTATAACTTATATTTTTTTTCCTAAACTGCATCAGCAATCTGTAGGTACTATTTGTAGCCCACAGCCCCTGAACTGTCAACTGGAAAAAAAAATCCACAGCAGAAAGGTACCATGCCTATAATTTCTTCAAAATATTCAGGCTACAATGAGTAGTGAGTTTTAAAAAATATTATACAAAGGTAATTAGTCRGCATTACCTATTTTAAAGACAGGAAAAATTGAAGTTTGAGGAAAGTAATCTATTACTGAAACTTGTTCAAAACCTTTGATTTCRTTCATTTTCAGCAAAACAGCTAAGAACACAGACAAAGTAAACCTGCTTTGTTGATGGCAATACCTCATTGCCTCACTTTTCCACTCCATTATTCTCCAACAATCTACATTGAATGATCTGAGCAGCAGAATACAATGCAAGGGATGCAGAAAGTTAATAGATTCTGAAAAGCCATTGTTTAACAGTGTCCTTGGTTTTAAAGAAATGTGAGAAAAGGAAAAGAAAAAAATGGGCAGAAAAAAAAMCTGAGGTTGACAATAATTGCATCAGTTCTTGTGGAAAACATGATTTGTTCCATTTTCCTCTTTTCTTTTTTTCTTTTTTTTTTTTCTGCTTTTTCTAGTCCACTGCACTCTAAAAAGCTCCTTACAGAGATGAATACTAGGGCTGGCTGAAGCAATTTAGATTGTTTGGTCCGTAGCAGAATTTGCAAGTTAACAAACTGGAGCCAGAAGGCAAATAGAAAGGCTGAGCTAGTTTCCAAAAGGTCCCTTTGCAAATCCTCTAGGAGATGCCAGGATTGGACATTGCTTAATGCCCTGGATTCTTTAAAAAAAGAAAATATTGCTAATTAAATGAAAAAAAAAAAAAAAAAAGACTTCTCTGACTGAATTGTGAAGAAAGGATGTGCTACACAGAGTTTTAAAGCCTGTATTGTTTTCTAATTCTTCTTGCTTTGCCTTTCCTTACTCAGTAATTTTGCCAATATTGCTTATGCTTGTGATTTGCCCTTAGCAAAGAAATACTTGTGCTCCCTGGAACATTGTTCACTGAAAAGATTATGACCCTTTGTTAAATTGCTTATCTCCTATCAATATTGCAAGGAAGCGAAGAACATGAATTTTGTAGAAATATGTAAACATTTTTATGCCTGAGTTTAGAACTGGTAGTTGTAAATATAAAAATTCTTGACGTGATACAAGCTATAAGAATCCCATGGTTGTATATAAGTGTGATATATAAACTGACAAAATGTTTTGAAATAAGAAAACAGATCTTAAATTCGTCTAAATTCAAGAGACAGAACTTATCCATGGTAGAATAAGGTAGTTTAATATCATATTTTATTTTTAATGTGTATGTATATATGAAATAAGATCACTATCACTGATGTTTCACAAAACCCAGTATAAAAATAGTTAGTCACTCTGTAATTAAGCTAGCACTAGKAAATTAAATAGGAAAACAAATCCTACTCTGTGCATAACTGATTCTTTTATTCTTTATGCTATATGCAAATATTGGAAGGGCAAACATTCACTTTTGTTGCATAAGAATGCATATTTTGAATTGAAGAGAAACTGTTTTCAAACATTATCTTTTAGCATGTGCAGATCATACATACTATTTTAATTTTTGATTTTACTCTGAACTCAGATAATAMTAAAGAATAGTAGAGGAGAACATGCAATATCTGAGTTTCGTTTCTTTCTATACACATAGAATTCTTATAGAGCATACACAGCTCTTGCACCCCTGAGATCTTTCCATTTCTTCCTGTTTTCATTTACACATGGAGAATTGTTTATGTCAGCTGTGCGTTTCCCTTCTGTTAATTACCTGCTCAGGGAATAATCACACTTTTGTTTTTYGTTTTCGTTTTTCTAGGTGAAATCAGACTATGAACATCTTAGAGAAACACTTATCAGAGTGACCAAAGAACGAGATTTGGCTGTAAAGGAAAAACACCAGCTCCAAGCCAAGCTGGAGAACTTAGAGCAGGTCCTAAAGGTAGGTATACTGCTGTGAATTTCAATAACCCAGTATTTCTRTTATTCATTTAATACCCATATTGTGTGGAATACAGTACACAAAGTATCTGTGAGGGATCCTAAATTAGCAGGGAGAGAGATGTATTTGGRAACCTTTATCAACAACTGGTTCTAGGATTTCACTCTGCAGCTAGTTACTGGATGCAAGTCAAGACAGGGAGAAAAGGATGAGAAGTGACTGCTGATGAAGAAATTAGGAACAGCTTTTGAAATATTTCGGTTTAGAGAAGACTCTGTCCCCTGGCTTGGCTTGATAGAAAGTGTCACTTTGTGGCCTTGTGGAGTGAACTGTTGGTCACAACTCCTACAACCTGTGTAAGCTGTGTAGGATAAAAAATGGGGAACAGTTCTGATGGTGGGAAGGGAAAAGTGCTTTTTTAGGAGACAGGCACATTTCCAATTCACAGTAACTTGATGAACCAAACCTGACTGGTGAGGACTAATGGTGAGGACTCTAAAAGGTTCCTTGCAGAGCAAAAGCTGGTGTCCAGTGTGGAGAGRTAGAAGGAGACAGAAGAAAAGAGAAATTTGATATAGTGGAAACACCAACTGATTTGAATGGGCAGCTGTTCCTAATTCCCCTAGTTGTAGCAAACATGGAAGCTGTGACATAAAAATTGTCACAAAAATGCCTTGACAGCTAAGGTTAAACAGCTAAGGGAAGAGGGAATGCAGATGGAAGGGGATAAAGAGGGGGAAAAAAAGTAAATACTGAGAATAGAAATGCACGAGGATATCCAATTATGTTTTTTTTACAGTATGCACAGTTGAGAAATGTCTACAGTCAAAAATTAAAAGAAAAACTCAATAAACTCCTCAGAAAACAAGCTATAACTGAGAGTCAAAGCTATAGAGTTGAAAGCATCTTTGAAGTATTTTGTTTTTAACTAACACATCAAATAAAACTCTAAGCAGAGCTTAAATAGAACATTTGTTTCCTTTGCAAGCATACTGAGATTGAGAGGAGCAAACCTCACTTTAGTGCCCCTCTTCGTTATTAATAATGTGTAGCACAGAATAATGGCTCGTTAAAGATTAGCAATAAATATGTTCAGATAAAATAATCTCTTTTACAGGATATGGGGTATTTTGGCTTACTTTAGTCCATTGCAGCCATGTATTTGTGTTTCCAAGTTCTGAATCCTGATGGATTTCTACGTAATAACTCTGGTGCTGCAGATAAGGAATTGTGCTTCTGCTCTGAGAGTATTATAGGAASAATATGTAATTTTGAAAATAAAAATCTTTAATAGCAACCTCACCAGGGAAGAGATCAAAATCTATAAAGAGTTCTTTCTTAACTCCCATTTACTAAACAGAGTGTTTGAAAGAATAATGATACTGGGCAGAATAATATTAACCTGTAATGAAATATACTTCTATCTCCAAAGGGTATCTTGACATTGTTCAGCTTGTACTCCTCCTAAGAACTTCATCTCATACTGCTTTGAATCATTAGTAGCTTTAAAAGTTGTTTTTCAGGACGGTGTAGTCACTTTTATCTGAATCTTTCCCTTTTAATTTTGTTCTGTGGTTTTTCTTCTGTTATTTACTTGAAATAAATAATAGCTATTGATTTTCACAGAATCACAGAATTTCAATTGTAAGCTATTTCTTATGGGTCATAATTTGCCATAAAAATCTCAAATAAAAATATGAATAAAAAGTCAGAGAATTGTCAAGCTAATATTTTTGAGATTTAATTTTTAAGCACAACACCATATGTAAGTGTAATAGACACTTCTCAGCTGCACATCRCGGAGGCCACGTTGCTAGCAATGACAAAGTCATATCTCCTAATAGAGATTATTACCAACATGCCTGAGTTTTACAGTGACCATATGTCTCTAAGGACTGTCTGATTTGAAATTTTGCCTTTTGCCTATCAGTGCAACCAGAGAGTTTTTAGGTTGAGATGAACGTTTGCCTGTCCCAAACGCTTTGTTGCAGTGAAGGGTGTTGGCATCTCCTCATGGTTTGGTCTTCTTGCCTTGAAACAGCATATGCGAGAGGCTGCTGAACGGCGGCAACAGCTGGAGTTGGAGCATGAGCAAGCCTTGGCTGTCCTCAACGCCAAACAGCAGGAAATTGAGCTCCTGCAGAAGGTAAAGGGGGAAATCGGCTGAAATGGCAAATCCCAGGGATGGGGCACAGGGAATGGGACAGATCTCTTAGGTTAAAAGAAGCTAGTCCAAAGGTACCAAACCATTTCCTACCTGCCAAAATAAAAATCTCCTTCTAGCTAGAAATGGGTCTAGATGCTCTTTTGCCTTAACCGTAGAGTTCCACTTGGCCAACTGAAATCTTCCATTTTATTTTCTGTAAACCCTTTAAAGTCAACCTACCTAGGTTTGTATTTAGCGATATTCCAAAATGCTCCTTTTTTGTTMCATTCAGATGTCTTTACTTGAACCTTCTGTGTGAATTTTAGACTTTAATTTCTTGGCAAAACATGAATGTTCATCAAAGAAACATACAGCTTTTTGTCTTGCTCGTTTTTATTACATCCTTCCAAATCCAGATAATGTGGGTCTCTGTTACAGATTGGTTATTGGAATCTAGTCTTTCTAATGCTATATTTTCCAGTGTTTTTTGCTAAGCTTTAGCAAGATAGATTTTTTAGAATCAACGAGGTTTTATATTTGGTATTTTACTGAGTGTAAACAGCTGAGTGTCTGAAGCCAATGATGAAATTCTTTTCAGTGGATCTAAGATAATTTGTGTTAAAATTCAGCGTCATTTATTTTGAAAATTATTATCTAATAATCATTTACCACCAAGTCGATCACTTCTAGCTTAGAGTTCCTGTACTAAAATGTATTGCAACAATTCATGTATTACTAAGAAGCATTTAAGAAATAATTCATCCTTCTTTCTGGTTTTCTTCATTAGCATGAAACATTCCTCCTAGGACTTTGTGCAGAAATTCATTTTTGCCTTGAATTCATTAYGCAATGAAGTCGCTAGAGTGTCTTCCTATTGCCTTTCATGATAAGGATCTGTGATAACTTAAATGATCGTGCTACCCATTGCATCTCTTGAGAAAATCTGCATGTATTATTCAYTCTGTATAGTTCTTAAAAAGAAGAAAGACTTCTTTTCTAATTTTGATTTTCAGGCCTTTCAAGCTCCATTTCTTTTCCATTCTGTCAAGTCACAGCAGGATCCCCACTTGGTTGAATAGCATAGTTTCTTTGATAATACTATTAACGTAATAACAACCTTAGAATGAAGACCAGAATAGTACCCTGTATAGGTAGAATAAGGAAAGCATTCAAGATACTGAAAGATTACAGGGGAAGTTTATATTGTATACCTTGTACCAAGGCAGGTGCCAAGCTAGCTCATAGACCTGCAGTAATCTGCACATGGTAGATGTGCTCTAAGAGTAATTTATTCTGCTTCTAGTCTCTAGAATGCTGGTGTTCAGAACATGAGCTTTCAACCTTATAATGCAGTGTATTTTGAGAGAAAAGTCATTTAAATATATCAGTTACCTAGGTAACTGTAATACTCTGCTTCTATCATTAAACAGGAATTATTGGCTCATGTTTCATCCTGAGCTGACTGCCCAGTGTGCCTAATAAGTGCTGTGTTAAATTCCTTTTTCCCTCTTTTATTGGATTTATCTGATTACTTGGAAAGGGGCTGTGAAATGAAACTGGTATCTCTAGGTAATAACAGGATGGCATTCAGCAGTATATCTTGTTACCATCGCAAAATTGCTGATGACCCACAGTAACGTGCACATTAAAACAGGGTCAGTAACTGCTCCAGTCTGATGCRTTTACTGTCCCGTTTTTAATACTAAATAAAAATCATCCTGCGCATGCGTGTATCCCCATCAGATTGTTCAGATTTTCATGCTAAAAGAAGAACATAATATTGTTCATCCAGGTTGTGTGTTGATAAGGTTTCGGATAAAGGTGTTTTTTCCTTTCCTCCAAGAGAGCTTTAATACCACAGTTTGATGAAAAAGCGTGATAGCTTTTGATACAGCTCCCCTTATCAAGAGCTCATATGTTGGGTAAATTTTATTAAACTTGTAATGATGGATATCACAAGGGTTTCTATTACCTGTCATCATATGCTTGCCAGTGTTTCTGGATCCCAAACTCCTGTTTACATTACAGAACCCGTCTTCGAGGATGTTACGAGCTATTTAATTAGCTGAGTACCCGCTCTGGTTTTTAGGGACTGAATCTAACTTTTGGGTCACTTTCTCCTAACAGGTATTGTGAACTTCTAGTCTGTGAGTCTTTGGCAATACAACTTAGCAAAAAATAAAGGGCTTATTTTCCACTTCCAATTTAGAGGGTTTCAGAATTGCTTAGGGTGTGTTCATGCCTGTCTGGTCCAACAAAGCACTGAAGCAATTAAACTTTAGTGAGATTCTGTCTATCTCACTGTCTTATTCTGATGGTTTGGAACCAAAGTCTTCTATTGCATTGACGAATGCAGCGCTTGAAGATGCTAAAAGGCTTTGGTCTCAGTACACAGTATGCTGCAGTGTGTGGTATGAGCACACTAWATATGGCCTAATTGATTTTTTTTCTTTTCTTAAATAATAAAAACAAGGCTCAGGTTGAAGCTAAGAAGGAACATGAAGGAGCAGTTCAGTTGCTAGAGGTAAGAAAATATCCTTTGCATTACCTGTAGCTACGGAGATTTAATTCTGAACGTGGTATCGTGACAGTATAATCATTTCTGATAGAATCAAGTTATATGCATGCAAATTTGTCTAATGTTTAATGTCATCTTTAAAAGTTCGTAGTTATGACTGCATTGAGCTGGCTGTTGGTAGCAACATTTGTATACCTCAGCTTCTCTTTGTATAAAATGAAAACTCTTGTACCATTTGTTGTCAACTTCTATTGGATGTGTAAAAGGGAAGGTTTTTTTTATGAAAATCGTTATAGTTTAGACTACAAATATTAAGGCTAGCAAGCTGCAAATGCTAATCAGTTACCCAAGGTTCCTTATTAGGTGTTGTCTARTAAAAATAAAGCAACATATACATACAGCGCAAGATAATTATTTAATACCTAGTGCGAAGTATATGATGCAAGAAGATATAAGTAGAAACAAAACAGTGGTTATTTATCCTTCTCAAGCTGATCTAAATTCCTGTTTAACTGATTTGTCTGCTTCTTCTGATTTGCATAACCCCATCAAAGTTTCTTAAGCTTTTGCCTTTTATTGCTATAAGCTTATTAATTTTTAGCATTTTGTTTTATTTAATCTGCCTTTTGTGATTCAAAATCAGCAGCAGCATTGATTTCTGATGCGTTCTATAGTGGGTTTTTGTTAATGCATGTTTCTATACTTATCAACTGTTTCAATTTTTTTTTGCTTTGAAATGTTAAAAAAAAAAAAAAGTGTTCAACTGTTTTTATTTCTTTGTTTATTGCACATCTCTTTGTTTACTGTGTCTTGTTTGGAATTTATTGCTTTGCACTTCATCCAGAACACCTTGGACAGCATGCAGGTATTTTAGGGCATAAATTCTCCTTTCCCTATCCCAAATCCTGCTCCGTTCACTCAAAAATGTGTATGGTAGTCCTGCCTTACCTCGCATGGGATGCGTGCTGGAACCATTGTTATGCAAGCATGCTTGGCACTGGTTACCTTAATATTGAATCACCAAAATCAAAACCTTTTTCTACAAATGATTTAGTCATATGGCATGATTTAATGACAATTCAGGCTCAATCTCATAAGCATGCCCAATGAGAATGGTTCAATAGTTTATTCAAGACTGCAACTTTCAGACTGTGTGGATTTGGGTCTGAATTCAGATTATTTCCTTGCTAATGCAAAGATAATTTTACATAAAATATTCACCTGAGGTTGATATTTTGAGCCATTGCTGCTGCATAAACAGGTAAACTGTGAAATATTAACCTGGCAGCTGAATATGTGAGCCAGTTTTAGTCTGAATTCAGGCTGTCCACCTGGAAAGATGCTCCTCATATTATGTGTCCTGTGTGAACAATATCTGTATTGTAACAGGTCAAGTCTGCTTCATTTTAGATTTCAGAAGCTGTGTTCATCAAAACRGAAATCAGAGATTTAGATTTATGATACTGCAAATGCCAGGAATTCAGTACCTAGGAAAGCTGTAGGTGTAGCAAACTGTTTATCCATAGGAAATACAATCAATGCATTTAAGCTTTAGGGATTTTCTGTAGTTCTTATTTCACAAATAAGTTGGATTTTCATGTTAAGTTTATGAAGTGAATACCAGRGTAACTCTTTCTCCCTGGTTAGGAAAAAGGTCTGTTTCATGGTTCTACCTTCATTCCTTCACCTGGTAATTTTGCTTTGGTCAGAGTCTAGTAGCTAATAATGACATTAGTTGCAATGTCTTACAGCAGAGAGTAGACAGCTGGACCCTTCAGCCAACACCAATTAGTCTCACAGTTCTTGCATAAMAATTGGGAAGTGACAAGAACTTTTAAGGAAACAGTGAAGACGCTGATTGCCTTTCTGGGGAATAATCTGCTGCTTTTTTTTCAGGAAGGGTTTCTTGTTAGCAGTGGAATAATTATAAATATCTATGTATTTATGTGTGTTGCTGCAGTACTATTTGGATATTACAGTATTTGATCAAAATTAGAGGAAACATTACTCTCTAAAATTTCTCCTTTTTTAAATAAAAAAYGCAGTACAGGATCCTCTATTTTCATTAAAATTTCAGTAAAATGAAACATTTAGCAGTTTCTACCAAGATATAATATTTAGCTTTAAAAGGATAAGGGACTTGGATTAAAATCATAACATCAGAAATCAAATCCACAAAGCTTTTTGGTATACATCAAAACGTAGTAAATAGCATCAAGCATAAAGCAACTTTCTTTTAGAATGCTACTGAAATCTATATTTGTTCATTTTATTAACATACAAATACTACCCTGTTTAAAGCCTGCTTAGTATCTCTCATAAGCAGTCATTTTTGCATAAATCTTTTTTTTATAAGGCACATTTAAAATATTAACATTAAAGACGTGACATGAAAAGGGAGCAGCAGCTACTTAGCTGTATTTAAGTTCTGACTCACAAATCACCCGTGTTCAGTCATGTCGACTCAAGTAATTTTCTAGGTCTGCTTTGATATTTTTAGATTTTGTTTTGTAATGAGAAATTTTTCCTCTTCAAAAAGTCTGTGCCACTCCAAAGTCCTGATATTAAGTTTTAAATAGGATTTTGGGAGTACATGGATATTCTGCTGGTTTTTGCAGTGATTCTGGCTGTTGGGCGCTGGTGGCTCCACTGCCTCCTTAGAGGCTGGCCCAGAAAAGCAAAAAAGGCTGGACCAGAGATGCCTCCTGTCACTTCTGCTAGGGATGTAATGGCATTTTTTCCTGCATATAGTACCAGCACTGTGTTCRCTTCCAAGTAATGATCTTCATTAAAAGAAGCAGTATTTTTTTTCCATGCTTCATACTGTCAAAGAACAGATTGAAAATAAGGATTTTACTCAACAGAGAAATYGAGGCAAATACTGAATGCAATGAAATACTTTTAATAATAAACAATCCTGCAATAATAATTTTTAAGACAGTCTTATTGAAGTCTAGATGGTGATGCCTTTGTTTTTCTTCATGCTAGAGTTTCCACAACTGCATATGGAAAGGTCAGTTTACATTCTCATGGAGCTGAATAATATCATACTAAATTTTTGCATTGGAAAGACAGGATGTAGAAAAAACTTTAACTGCTTTGTCTATTTAATGTTCTTTTAAAATTATACATGGCTGTCTTATCCATGAGCAAAGTGGCAAGCAAGTGTGTAGTTGCCACAGTGTCTTTCCATTTTGTTATATTTGGTTTCATAATCAGTGAGATCTAGTGAGAATTTTTTACTAGAACTGAATTAATTTGTTAAATGAATGGGAAGAAATTATACCCTCAAAATTCATTGTAGCTTTTAAAAAATATTTATTACAAAAAAAAAAAAAAAAAAAAAAAAAACCCAGCTTCTGCAGCAGAAAATTCTTGTGTTCTTTTGAGGGCTGCACAGTGCGTTCATTTATCTTTAGATGTATTAAGATCTGTATATTGGTCTTCAACATTTACCTCATATGAACTGAGAAAATTTTTGCTCTTTCAAGAGAAAAAAAAAAAAAAAAAAAAAACCTTTGGTATAGTTGAATGAGTCTAATTGATATCCAGCTTCCTTTGTTAACACAGCTGTTTAACCAGGCATATGCTATAAAGGGAGTTTTAATGAGGGAAAGGGATGTTTGCTCATGATAAAGCATGAGATTAGGAAACAACGCATCAGCTTTTCACATAAGGAGCCCATTAGTGCCTCTATTGAGCGACTTCTTAGCAACATTTGGGTCACATCTCGTGGGACGAGTGCTCTGGGGGCTTGGCACAGCGGAGTCTCTCTGGCACCTTTCCAGAGCAGAGCCCAACTGCATCAGTCCTCCCAAAGGAAATTTGCAGGAGCTCTACTGATCCTTCAGGTCTTTGCAACAGGTGCTATAGGCACCTTCCCAACCTCCTGGACACCCTGAATTTCTTTTTTTTTTTTTTTTTTCTCTTTGGCAACATTTGATGCTGAATGCAAACAGATGTGCAAGCTGTTTGAAAATGCAGACTGAAGTGTAAACACATCATATTGAAAACATCAATTTATCCTTACTATAGCTTGTATGATAAATATGGTTTGGATAAAATAGAAGATAGCACGTTCATTCTCCTGCCTTAGTGTCTTTGTCACTGCTACACTTTCTTCTGAGCAAAGCTCGTGCAAGAAATCCTGAATTACTACTATCCTTGTCCCAGGCAGGGAAACTTTCTTTTCCATCGCCTCATCCATTCTTTTTCACCTCAAGAATTCATAAATTGTATATAGGCAAATTTCCCAATTCAACACATAAAATTACCTTTTAAATTCTGTTTTGTTAAAACCTAATATCTGAAAAAATAAAACAGAAATTTTCACCAGCTGTGGCGTTTTTATATTCTCACAAGCTTAAAGATTCCTCTTTGCTGGTGTTAGACTTCTTCTGTCATTGTAGTAAGAAGCATTATTTTTGAAAGACACTTCAGCCAGTAACAAGACCTCCTGCATGAACTACTGCATTTTTGAGGCTTTTTATTATTTAAATGTTAACCTATCACTTCAGGAAGCTATAGCTTAAGAGCTGAGGATGGATGTACCTCGTCAAGAAACATATCTGGAATTTATGGGAATTTGGAAAAGTGTTGTTCAGATGAGTGTAGATATCCCCAAACTGTAGCGCTGCCAGAAAGCATGATAAGGAATTTCCACTTTGGAAAGGGGAGAATATTTACCTCCATATAACAGAGCTGCTAAGAGGTTTTATTCTAAATATGGGTTAGAATTTAGGGGGAGAAAAATGTGGGCCTCTTTATGCCAGCTAGTTTGCCTGTCCCTGTTTTCTGGTACCCTAATAAAATCTGACCCCATCATCGACCCTCTAAGCTCAGTCCAAGTGTCCGTCCTGTGTCTCGCCTGTGCAGGCCAAGGTCCGGGAGCTCGAGGAGAAATGTCGGACGCAGAGCGAACAGTTTAACCTCCTGTCCAAGGAGCTGGAGAGGTTTCGGCAGCAAGCTGGGAAGATTGACCTGCTAAGCAGCAACACGGTGGCAGCCTCAGATATCCCCGGTTCTCCTAGTAAATCCCTCTCCCAGTTAATGAATGGAATAGCCACTTCTATAGGCAAAGGTAAGGGATGATAGCTGTAGGAGTCCGAGTACTTTCATGTTTTGAGATGTGATGCTGGGATGTAAATGGGATTGACCATGAAAACGTGAGGTTAGAATTTGGTCCTGAGCCTGTTTTGTGATAATTTTCACCGTATTTCATATGGCATCATTAAGGTTGTTCTAGCTCTATTCAGACAGGCTGTTGAGTGTGGTGGTGAAACCAGTTCAGTGTTAAGATAAGGTATTTATTGTGTAAACATCTCTACCTCTTGGAAGCATGATGAGTCTCTACATGCACAAGATTTGTTGGAAAACCTTTATTGTTTCAGCTGCAGCAGTTGGTCTACTGATTTGATGAAGTAAGTTTATAGGGACGTAAAGAACAGAGACAGAAAAAAAAATGGTAGCTAGAGCTGGCAAGAAAATGGGAAAACTGAATAAATGTTTCTGACAAATAAGAAAATATGTTTGCATCAGTTGCATTTTTTTTCAGCAGTTTTTTCAGCACTTCTTCACAAAAACTTGATATAGTTCTGAATACTCCTGATTTTTTTTTGATTTCTTCTTACTAAGCTTCTAGAAAAATTCCAAGGTGTAGGCCTTGGAAATCACAAATCACTTCCCTATCATTGCAGATGAGCAGTTATTTTCAATGAAGGGTGTTGAAATCAATGTGAAACCGAGTTGAAAGGAACCAAGATGACATCCTTCTTTTGTTTCACTTCAGTGACTTTGTATTGGGTATGATTTGAGTTTTTAAGCACAAAATTCTAGGTGCCTATCTATGGTGCATGGTAGTTTGTGGGCTTTTCTGAAGCTACAACTGTCTTACTGAAGAGCATTAAATGGAAATTGAGAAGACATTACGTGGTAGATGTAAGAAATTAGTAGAAATTTCCTTCATAACAACAGTATTAGCTCCTCATTTCTCTCAAGATAACATTTTTAAAACAACTAATTCTAAGGGAAAGATAATCAGGAATTCAAATCTCCTTTTGGCAGACTGGGAAGGTRTAGTCTCCATCCTCTGAATTTATCTCAATAGGCCCCAATCCTCAACTGAAGAAGTAAGMTTTCCAAGCTCCTGAATCAAACTCTTAAGCTGCCTAATATTTATTCTGTAAGTGCTAATGGAAATAGCTTTTAATAAAACCTCCAAAATGTAACAAAACCCTCCGAGAAGTCTTTGATTCAAAACAATTAAACACAGCAAGATCTGCACTGATGTAGTTTAAAGGCCTTGCTCTGTACAACTGTTCTCATAATCTATAGATACTTATGCTACTAAAATTCAGGGCCTGCAACACTGGTGTATATAAATATCAGAAATCCTTGGACAATGCTCAATACTCAATATGCWCTCACTGAATACACTAAAATAACGTTTAAGCAAGTGGGCAGGATTTTAAGTTACTGAAATCAACCGTTTCACAATGGTGACAGCAATGCTACAACAAGTCTTCAAACCAGAAGTGCAATTATTTTTATTATGTGTGAGGAAGAAAGAACACAAGGAGAGCTTTCAAAGCAAAGCAAATGGCGGAAATGAGATCAGTTTATGGCCAGCTGCTTTGCCTTAATTTGTGATGTTTGAATGTATCAGGAAATGAAATAAACCTAGTCAGAATAGATTAGAGTGCAAGAAGTTCACTCTAAATATATAATTATGCCACAACCAGATACAGAAACCTTCAGGATTTATTATATATCAGATAAGGGGAGCATTAAAATGGTCTTTTTAGATAATTTAGGTAGCTTGTAATGAATCAATAGTCCCATAAATAAAATGATGGTCCTAATTGAGCCTTGAGTATGGTCAGTTTTAATTCTGTCTCAGACATCTAAATTAAATAGTCTGGTGCTCTTCCTTGCCTATTTCCATAAGGGGTGTTCTTCAGACTTCATTAACAGACTAGCTGCCAGTCYTGCCAAAATAGAGGCATTTTCTTAATTCTTGTAGTGTTTTCCAGACTGTGACTCTGAAAGGAGAGCTATCTATTTTCCTYAGTTTCCAGTGAGCTAAAATTTTTTAGAAAATCCTTAGAAGGACAGATACTATCATATTCTTCATATTCTCCATATTCATATATTGGTCAAATTCAGGGAAATTGCTGAAGTTACACTGGATGAAGATGAGAACTTACCTTTATTGCAGATAAAAGAATTCCTCAGAACTGCAGTAATTTTTAGGCTGCTTCAAAAAATAGATTACATTGGGGTCCCAGATAAAAGCATTCCTGCAAAAGCCTTAGAGAATCAGTTTTGTTATTAAACATATGTTTTCATAAAGAGGCAGGTGTTGATAGCAACCTAGTGTAGCACCGATTGAAGCAAATATAGGAAACATTACATTCTACAAGTAGACAGACATATAGAGAAACAGAAGATGTTAGAGGCAGTACATTCAGTTAGGTAAACACATCCATTTTACCTAGCAGGATTTAGGGCAAAAACTACATTTTTTTTCACATATGTAACTAAATATAGGTGTGGACTTGCTGAGATAGGAAGTGAAGTATCTAAGAAGGCTGATCTCCTTATTAGCATCAAATGGAACCATGCAAGTGTCCAACACACGATGCAGGTACAACCACTGCAGTCTGTTCCCTGGATAGAGTCTGTGAAGGACCCGATATGAATATTCTGTTTTCTGTTTTACAGGTGAAAAAAATATATATATATAGCTGAATATTTCTCTAGATTTTCCTATTCCTGAAGCTCATTCTTATTACTGTGGGTTTCTGGCCAGGTTATCATCCTGTGTGCTATGCAAAGCACGGGGAAGATGGTCCAAGAATCTTTCTCCACATTTTGTATCTAGTATCACTAATTTAATGACAAAGCCTGAGAAGCCCAGGAGGCATGAGACCCAACAGCAGTTTCCTTTGAATGAATAATCRCAGTTGGACCAATTATTTACAGGCTTGGCACTGACAGGCTGGTATGGCAAGCACATTAACAGCAAACAGAAGGAGCTAAATTGGCTAAAGGTTTCTGAACAGGCATGACTTTTCTGTTATATATGTGAGAAAGATTCCAAGAATAAAAAAAAAGTGCCCTTTTCCAGTCTGGGGATTGCTGCAAGCAAGGCTGGTTATAATTTATCTTTTGTATGATGACTTGTGTGTTTCCCTGCTGTTAATGTGCTTAAGCTGCCTTGCTGTAAATTACAGTGATGCAGAGAAAATTAATCACATTGGAGCAAGGAGCACACCACAAAACCCTCTGATGATGTGTTTTGGAACTCGTTCTCCCCTACAGTACTAGTAAAGAGATTCCAATGCGGATTCCTGGTGACATATATCTGGGATGCTTGTACTTACCGATTTCTGGGGAGGGAATGCTGAACCTTCACATGTTCAAGGTCTGAAAAATTAGAGTGTGGATTCATTATGTTAAAGAGAGAGAGGGAGGGAGGAAAAGGGCCCCATGGATAGGTGATTGCATCAGTAATGCCCAATACTGTGGTGTTTGCTATAACTTCTGCTGCTAGTGCACATATAATTAGGCTCAATTTACAATTTCCTGCTTGTTTCTACATGGTTTGAGAACTAACTTAACAATGAAAGGAAAAAAAYGTGTGGTGTTTTATTCAACTTTTATTAGTTGCTCCTGAAACCTTAATGAGATTTTTTTTTAACTTGCTTTCCTTCATCATTAGGTCAGGATTTCACTTGAACTGATAGATTAAAGGGTGTAGCCTCTTACAAAGTTGCTTTCTTAGATCCTTTAAATGTATTATATGAGTTAACTTTTCCTGTTTTTAAAAAATCAATAAAAACATTCAAACAAAAGTATTTCTGGAGGATTTTGATTTTTTTTTTTTTCATAGTCTATGTCCTGTTTTTTAATTGATAGCAATTATTTGTTCTTGTATGTATTTTGTTCACTGACAGGTCATGAAAGTCCTTCTGGAAGTCGGTGTGTGATTTCAGAGTTTATACGACCCCTGCAGATTTCTGGAGACAAACCAGAACAATTGTCTGTCAAACCTACATTCCTGTCCAAGTCAAGATCTGGTAGCGCAAGATGCAGATTTGATTCAGACGTGAGTCTTAAGTTCGTTAGTGGCAATGTGTGTCATGGGGCTAGGACTTCCTCAGGGGACCAATGAAGGGGGACCAACCTGCTTTTAAAAAGTMAGGAGGTGGAATGTCTGTATCTTAGACATCTTGGCAACGTGATGAGTAGGAATTTAACTGAGATTTCCAGTAGTTACGCAGCATTAAAAATGTGTGAGATGTGCGTGTGAGATCCTCAAGCTTCTATGAAGATCTCAGCCTTTCATAATGCATTTGAAGAGTTTGCACTGTGCTATGAGGTGAAAGCACCTTAGTCTTTTTGATATATGTCTATGTTATGCTGTGTTTTGTTTTCATTATTATTATTGTATCTACCAAAAAATGTCACTTTGATATAGCTTGGGCAACTGGAAAAGCAATCCCACGTAGTGGCTCATTCTTCACGACCTGTTGTTTGCTCAGKTTGTAGGATGTGTGGATCTTCTTGTTACAATTAGGCTGATACCACCTGCTAAGAGCAATTTTCAGCACGCTCTTCTAAACTGATTTTGATAACCTGGAAGTGAAAGTTACTATGAGTTAACATTTTTAAAGTCTTAATAGAAGGTTATTATTACTGTAAGCCAGTTCTGTATGGACAGAACAAGCCCTGTATATAACAGGCCCCGTTACCCATATAAAATCTAATCTTGACACCCATTCTTACTCTTCATAGAAATAAATGAAAATGCAACTGTGTGCATATCYAGCTAATTTATATTCATTGCTACTGAACCTTTGAAAGATGATGGAATCAAAATGTTTTTGAATAGTTGCAAGCCTAGGAATGGAGTAAGATATTCCACAGAATATTAGATTCCAATAGAGTAGACAGTCTTCAAGCATACCTAAGGATTTGTCCACAAATAAGTATATGTGTATTGTTAGTAACATGGAAATATTCAAATATTCACTGCTTTTTGAAGAGGCCACAAAAAAAGAAGCCCAGGGTAATCAAACTAGAAAATGCAGCAGAGCAACGAGGTGTGAGGAAGCAGAACTAACTGCAAGAAAAGGAGAAGTGCACGTCAAATTTAATTCCCTTTTTCTATTATTTTTCATTTATCTCTCACTGAGACTGTCAAGCCCTCTCTTGCCAAATTGTTCCTTGTGTGCTTTTCTTGAGTGTTATTATGTGACGCATACTTAYATTATTCAAGCTCACAGGGATTCAACTCCATTCTTTTTTATAGGTATCCGGGACCTAGGGGGAGAATGTATGAAGATAATCATAAGAAAATAGTCTCTAGAAACAAAATCTAAAAATGGATCTCAGTGCTGTGAAGTGTGAAATACAAAATTATCTTCTACAAAACTATTTGCTGATTTTCCTGATTGTTACTAGCACCAGTGGCCTCTGGAGAAGTTGTTATTGGTTTAGTTATAAGCATTGCTATGTGTCCTTGAAAACACATAAGGCGAATAACCCTTTAAAATGTTACCTAGATCCCCAAAGGATACACACAGGGAGAATATCCGTTAGCTTATTCTCACTGTCCTCCAGTTACCATTCTGGGAACCAAGCAGAGACCATTTTAAACCTGGAAGTCATAGATCAATCTTCAGTCTTTATCCGGATTGTGAAATTAGAGTCCATTTTTAGACGACTTATCTATTTGATCCTACTGTCAAGCCTAATTTTTCTTCCTTAATTAAAGTTCTCTCAAGCTCAGGAGAAAAGTTATTCACTTTTCCTTAAAGGACTCAGAGCAAACTATACTATAAGTGGAGAGAAAAAGCACATCTATCATATAAAAAAAAAACCCTCTGTGACAGAATGGATTTTATCTGCTACTAAAGAGAGATGACGGGTAGATTTTATCTATTACTCAMTACCTGCAAGCTGTGCAAGCTGACATTTGAAGAAATTCAGAAATTTAGGGTTTGTCTAAAGTAATTAGCCATTAGTATTTGGGTACTACTTTTGTTTTCTGATTAAAATTTCAGGGTACTGTTAGATATTCTAATATCAATATTTCTAACTAAGATTAATGAATTCTGTTCCATGTCACAATTTCTCCTTTTAAAAGAAAAAAATGTTACGTGTCCTGTGTTTTATTGTCATCATGTGTCAGAATACCAGTGTATGCATCTTTTTGAAATCCCATTGTTTCTTTTTTTCCTATACAGATGGATAATGATCGGAATTCCAATACCTCAAAGCAGAGATATTCTGGGAAAGTCCATCTTTGCATTGCCCGTTATAGGTAACATAAAGAGCTTTTATATATAATACGTATTTGTAATATTCAACATYTTGTTTTATTTTTATTGCTGCACCTGTTGAAGTTTACTGTGTAAAAATTTGCCATATAAAAATGGAGTATGTGGACTGTCTTCAAATGTGCAAGTGAGATTTTTGCAGTTGTTTTTAAAATAAGAAGGTTTATGCCAGTGTGTATTCAAAGAGACCTGTGCGACTAAGGGAAAAAATCATAAATTAATCATTTGGAGGTGGATATGGCTTTAAGTTCAYAGCACTCAAGTGAATAGGTTGTGTTTCATGGCAACCTGTTGCAATCCAGTTGCAATTCATAGGAYTCACCTGGGCATCTCTCAAAATATGTATTTCCAAGGGTCATCAAGCAGGATGGATTACCTTCCTATGCAGAATTTTACAGCTTGTTTTTTTCTGATTAGTATTCAGTATTGTGGAGGTTGTAAGGGAACATGTATGTTTTTCCATGTGTACCATTGCAGTTACAACCCTTTTGATGGACCAAATGAAAATCCAGAAGCAGAGCTCCCCCTTACAGCAGGAAAGTACCTTTATGTGTATGGAGATATGGACGAAGATGGCTTTTATGAAGGTATTTTTTTGAATCTGTAAATATATGCTAATTGATACAAATTCAAATCATTTCATTTGTCAAACATTCTACCAATGCTTTTTTTCATCTACTACCAAATCAGTTGCTAAAATTACCCTGTCTTATTTGTGTTGATTATCAGAATTTTTCTACCAGCAAAGCTCTTCCTTGCAGGCTTAGCTAATTATAAGACATTTTAAATTGTCAGCTTTTCCTACTTGCAAGATTTAAGTTGGCAAGGAAGCTTACTGAAAATTATGGCTTTTGCCTCAGTGTTTCTTTATTTTCCCAAGTCGTGAATCCAATGTATGTATAATTTTTGTCTGTATCTTCTTCCTTGCCTCCCCACTTATTGCAAGGCATTGCCAAAAAGTGAYGTTGGAGCTAGGAAACTTTTAATGGTTTTGTGCAAATTGATGAATAGCACCAAAGTTGTTTACAGACCTTCTTACTCTAACTTCACCCTTTCCAACTTKATTCTTATAGCTTCAGTTTTCTTTTGGCATTCTGTAACTCAAGGCCAGATCACAATGTGATCTTTGTTGGTAATTAGCCACCTCATGACCTACAATATTTTTTGTGATAGCAAGGTGATTCTTTGTTTAAAGCAATGGTGCAAAGTAATTTTAAACAAAATGAAACAAACCAACAATCTAAGCAAGGAGAAGAAGAGTTCTTTTTGTTAACCTCTTYTTCAACAGGAAACATGCAGTTGAAGTTATAACGTGCAGCATAAATATGGTTTATGGCTTTTGTAGATAATGGTTTACTTTTAGGTGGAATTTTAATCCATATATACATTTAATTTTTAACCTTTCAAGGATGTTAATGACACTATAATTTCTTGCCAGGGGAACTTCTAGATGGACAAAGAGGACTAGTCCCCTCAAATTTTGTGGATTTTGTTCAAGACAATGAGACCCGTTTGTCAAGCACTCTAAGCAGCGAACAAGATCAGAATTTCATCAATCATTCGGGTCCTACTTTGGAAGGAGATCTCCTAGAGATAAGTCCACCGAGTCACATGGACTCTAGTGTAATCAGCAATGGTGCAGGGACTCTGGATGTGAATATAGATGAAATTGGAGAAGACATTGTGCCTTATCCTAGAAAAATCACCCTTATTAAGCAACTAGCCAAAAGTGTCATTGTGGGCTGGGAGCCACCGGTAGTGCCACCTGGATGGGGACCCATTAGCAGCTACAACGTGTTGGTTGACAAAGAAGTACGAATGAACATAGCCTTGGGAAGCAGAACTAAAGCTCTTATAGAGAAGCTTAACATTTCTGCCTGTACATACCGAATATCAATTCAGAGCATCACAAACAAGGGAAACTCAGATGAACTCCAGTGCACTTTGTTAGTTGGGAAGGATGTCATTGTAGCCCCTTCTAATCTTAAAGTGGAGAACATAACCCAGATTTCTGCTGAGCTGTCCTGGCTCCCTACAAATAGTAATTACAGTCATGTGATTTTTCTTAATGAAGAAGAATTTGACATTGTCAAGGCTGCTAGCTACAAGTACCATTTTTTTAATTTGAAGCCCAATATGGCCTACAAAGTGAAGGTTATGGCAAAGCCCCACCAGATGCCCTGGCAGCTTCCGCTGGAACAGCGAGAGAAAAAGGAAGCCTTTGTGGAATTTTCTACGTTGCCAGCAGGTTTGATTATTTTTCTCCCTACCCAAACACTCTGCAGTTTAGTTTTTTATTCAGCAGTAGGGCTTACCGTTAGTCTCATGTTTTCCTCTTGTCAATACGTTGATCTAATTGCATACCTCTTCTAGCAAATTTACAGTTAAAAAGAGAAAGAATTAAGAAAAAGTATGTTTAACATACCAATTCTTCTCTCTGCAATTAAKCTATGTTATAAAAAACATGTTTCAATAATTATTTTAGAAAATGCTGAGAAAGAAATAAAGATGCTTTGCTTGACTTCCATTGTTTTGCTTCTCTAGGAAGATGCATGTGGGTGAGTGGCATCACGTAAACATTTAGTTGCAGTGAATGTCATTTTGAGTAACCAGGGCACAGACTGCTGGGGAGTTGTTTATTTTGGGCTAGGGGGATAGAGGAGATTGCCGTTTTCACTGAGAAAGATGAATTGTTTCTTAGACACAAGATAYGGGACTGAATGAGATAGGTTATTTCTTGTAAACTGAAGAGCTCTTAAGGATTGAGGCTCCGGGCTTTTATAAAATAGACTTCATGCGAAAGCTGCAGTGGAATCCTCAATTACTATGCATGTCTTGGGCAAGAATAGTATTAGTTTAATTTGCGTGCTTTGGCCCTGCAAGTCAAAGATATCCTATAGAGGGAAAGGATTGCATAGGCAAGATGGTAATGCGTCCTGTAAACCTACAGTGTCTTTAACATGATCAGAATTGTATTTCAGTGCCCTCTACAGGATGAGATTCAGTGACAGCAAACTACAGATGTGTTGAGAGTTTGCCAGAATATCCCTAGGCTGACTTGTGTGATATTTGCTGTTGTACCATGCTTTGTCCAGCAGCAGTAAAGGCACACAGTGAATGTAAATGCACACAGCTGTAACAGCTGTAGCTGTTTTGGTCTCAGTAGATGAACAGAATTTGTTGGTGCTGAGTTCCCTGGTAATAATGATTTCACAGCAGCCAAGGTTTTCTTCTGCCAGTGTTACCCAGAGATGGCCTTATTTGACCCCTGCTTTTGGAATGTTTTAGCGTGATACCCTCCTCCCCGTTTTGTGTTAATGAACACATGCCTTAAATATGCCTCAATGAATAATTTCTAAGATGCTTTTACTTTGGGTTTCTCTCTAAAGCTATTTATAGTAGGATGATAATGGCTTTTAATTAAAGATGTACATAGTGTGCAATTACTCTAAAGTACTGCAAATGCTTTTAAAGGCTAGCAGGCTAAATTTTTCTACATTTCAGAGCAGAGACTTTGAGTCTGATTGTCCTTTATACCAATATGCCACTGACTAAAAAAGTTAAAGTTCTAGTTTCTGGTCTTTTTACCCTTTCACATAAATCAAAAATGTGCACAGTGCATATGGCACAGAGGTATACACCAAAAAGTCACTTGCAACAATTTTCCATTAATGTAGTGCCAATCCTTGGTACTTTTCTCACTGCATTTTTTCTGTTACTGTCTCCTGCATTCAGACTAAGTAGCCACTATGCAGTCTGGAGGGATAAAAGTAAATTTAGAGCAAACTGCAAGTACAGGAGAGCTTGCAAATGAATATAGTTAATGTCTATAGGCTGAGGGTCAGTTGGCTCCCTAATCTGCTGAGTGCTTGTATGCTTCTGTTTGTACCTAATAACTGCAGTAAAGATATTTTTCCTTCTTAAAATAAAATAAAAATAAATATATAAGTGCTTTGTGTTTGCAAATTACAGTTGTGTCTGTGGACCTGCATATTTCTGTTCTAAYGCTGCTTGGTGACCAGGCTTTTCCCTCTTAGGTCCTCCAGCTCCACCTCAAGATGTTACTGTCCGGGCTGGGTCCACCTCAGCAACTCTACAGGTGTCCTGGAAACCACCAACTCTGACAGCAACAGGGACCTCCCATGGTGCCAATGTCACCGGCTATGGTGTTTATGCGAAAGGTCAACGGGTGAGTCTTCGTTCCAGCATTGCAGTGACTAACTACCTCAAGCAGMCTTCCATGGGCAGGCAAGGGCAGCAGTAAGGGTGTGACAGCCCTTCAGTGTGTTCCTGKTTTTTTCTAGGTTTGCATAGAACCTCTGTATTTGATCTTATATAATTTGATCATTAGTTCTCTTTCTATAGGCACTTCAGGGTCAAGTGGGCGCAGCTTGTACTAAGTGATGTGGAGTACTAATGAGTTTTGACAGCAATTAACCACATATTGATACCTTGAAGGGTGTGTTTTAGTGAGAATGAGGGAGAAAAAGTGAGGCCTTCATGCTAATATGTTGCTTGTTTGTGTACTCAGGTGGCAGAGGTGATCTTTCCTACAGCAGAGAACACATTGGTGGAGATAATGAGAATAAGGAACTTGGAAGCAAAGGAAGTTACTGTTCGAACCCTCTCTGCTCAAGGAGAATCTGTGGACTCTTCAGTTGCTGCCATTCCATCTGACCTACTGGTGCCTCCAACCCCTCACCCTAGAACTGCTCCCAAATCTAAGCCATTAGCAAGTGCCGGAGTCCCAGAAACCAAAGACGAACATTTAGGTCCCCATTTAAAAATGGATGAGTCATGGGAGCAGACTCGTTCGGCCTCCCCCATTCATGGACACACGCTCGAGCCACCTGCCCCGAACTTCCACGGGGGAAGGAGGTCTCCATCACCCAACCGAATACTCCCTCAGCCTCAAGGCACGCCTGTCCCAAATACTGTTGCAAAAGCCATGGCAAGAGAAGCTGCACAGCGAGTTGCAGAAAGCAACCGGGTAAGTGGAGACATCTTCTATGACATTTTGGCTGTCTGTATTCATTGGGGCAGTTTCCACCCAAGAACGCTTTGTTGTATATGTTTTAAAGAGCAGTTACTCATTCCTGAATCCTGAAGATCAGTAGTTTGGTGAGCAGCAGTGTGATAAACTTAGAACCTACCAAAAAAAAAATGCACCATATGATGCATTTATCAACCTTTGATCAACTCCACAAACCCTGTAGCATAACCAGAAAAGTTACTTCCAAAACCTGGAGAGCCTTACTACTACTGAAAAAAAAAATGGCAATAGATCACCAAACTGCAAACAATTTGTACCCTTCTTTGCACTGAGGTCATAGTTGCTAAAGTGTTTAAGTCTTTTGGTAAACCTCTGCCAAGGGAGAGGTTTCGTTTCCTCTCTTGGAACGAAACCTCTTTCGTTCGAGAGGTTTGATGGAAAAGAAGCAACTACCTACCATGTGCTAATCAAAACATGGTAAGGAATGCACTGCTCTGGATTTGTCAGGAAGGTGACACAAACAGAAGATACTTTTCTCCATAAGAGAGTWGAAACACTTAATAAAACCCTCCCTGGCCCATTCCTTTCATGGGCAGGATTCCAGTAACGCATCCTGTAGGAATGCCTTGCCTTCAGCAGGGTTTTGATGTGATAGTGATACAAGGGAAGAAAGCTATGAACTGAGTTGATGGTCACATAAAAGCATATAGATGCTTGTGAGTGAAAATAATACACAAAACTCCCCAAAGCACCTAAGGGGTTGCAGTCAAGAGAAACAGAAATTACTTTAAGCCTGTGAATATATTTAAATACTATATTCTTGAGTGCTGAAAGCAAGGTATGTGGAATCCTTATGTCTTACATTTACCATTTCTCCCAGTGGTTGCAGGAAGAAGTCTGCTTCACAATTTTCAATTTTCTGTTGCTTTTCTAGATGGAGAGGAGGAGTGTGTTTAGCGAGAGGAGCAATGCAGCGCAGTATGTGAACTCAGATGATGAGGAGGATGGCTACGATTCTCCTAATATCAAAAGGAGAGGGGCTTCAGTTGATGATTTCCTAAAAGGGTCAGAACTTGGAAAGCAAGTAAGTAGCCTGCTCTTGTTCAGGTCAACAAATGTTTTTCGAAGCTCAGCAGGCTGGGCTGTCCAGAGCACTGGCTGGCTCAGGTCTTTTTCTGCGTCGTGCTCTATTGCTGCATGGGAAAACAGGCTGTGAAGAAAAGGAAAAAGGGAAAGGACTTTGTGTTCCATAGAAGCCAGAACCTCTAATGCTGATTAGCAGACAGTCAACAGTATATATACTTGACGCACGTAAGGAAAAGAAATATATTGCCAATTCAGGCCAAGATTTCCTAAAGAGACCAGTGACCCTTTAAAAATGCCTAATGTTTAGAGTGTTTAGAATGGACCAAGAAAGTCCACATTTCTTTTTCTTCTAATCCAACTTCATACATGACCCTGATAAGTAACCTTAGGTGCATCTGCCACTTGGGTGCGAAGTAGCTTCTCCATTAGTCCTTAATGCTTTAGATCATTAAAAGGTACCTCATTAAAAGGTAGCTGGGAGTGTTTACAGCTTCAGTCATGTGTCTGTTTTACTGATTTTRTAAAAGAGAGGTTTGGACATGAACATTTGATGGCTGGGAACTCTTAGCATTATATTCCTTTAAGATTAAAAATATTAAGCTCGTATCTTCTACTAGGTACGTTCTAGCTAGACGTACCTGGCTAGGTATGTCTAAAGCTAGATTTGAAATACGGTCTGTCTGTCTGCAAGCATTCTCAAATTTGAATGAGATTTAATTTTAGAGTTTATGTAAAACTAAAAGAATTCCTTATTGATGTGCTTAGAAGAGCAATAGTTAAATTATGTCTAGCTCACAGCGTGTTAGGTAAAAAGTGATAATTAAACATTTACTTTATAGCTTATGAGATGGATCTACTTGTAGTTTAGTTGCTTATCTGCCTTGTTTATGAAAGGTAATCACTTTTACTGCATGGTTTGTTAGTAAAGAAATAATTTTTGGATTTCCTGTAGTAATTCTGACGTATGTAAATATGCCAGGAATCTTTTCCTGCTCATTCTCTCTTTGCTTTGGAGAAAATGCTTTTTGTAGGCGTTTTCTTTCCTGGCTCAGATTGATTGCTGGCATCATGTTATATGGTTATGGAAATTGATCTAGTACCACAGAAATCATTTTTTCTTTAGTATTGTTGGGGGAAAGTGCAGTAATTGCTGGCATTCCAATATTTCACTGCCCAATTCTTCAGATATTCTGCTGCAATCTGTCAGTCTCGTACCTCAATTTGAAAATTTATCCTTGGATGTCAATTTGTTTAGTTTGTTAGATGAAAGTTCTGGCTAACTGTCCRCAGAACTCCTATTTAATAATAGGATAATATTGTTATAAAAAAGGCCACTCCTATTCAACAACAGCAGTTCAGTAGGACATACTTTTTTCCTCCTTATATTTCAACTATTTGAAATCATAGAAGAACTTAAAATATTTGAACTAAAAACTAATTTAAAAAAAATGTTTTCTTGTCTATTCCTACAGTGTTTAAGGGAATTAAAGTTTTGATCCCTGTCAGTTAACTATCTATATACAATGATTGTAGCATCCTGCAAGAATTAAATACTGATCACTTGTAAATTGTAATGTGATGTAACAAGCAGCTGTGAAGAGCAGATGATCTGTGGCTTATCCTAGGGCTTTTACAATTTGGCCAGCAAACCCACTGGTGCATGAAGGACCTCTTTATCTTACCTCTTATCAAAGTTGTTCAGTCATGAATAAAACCATTTTTTTTTTTGCTGTGATTGCACACATTCCTTTCGTGGATCACCTATGGGATTAAGGTTTCTTGAGTTGGAAGCATAACTGAGCAAATAGATTTTATACAGAATCTGTTCACTGGGATAGAGTAGCAAGCAGCATGATGCAATATATATATGGAAATTATTACAATATTCAACTTAGGAAAATACTATAGTCCTTATTGGTGATGTGCCAGGACGTCCAGCTTTACAGCCGGTCACGATTTTACCTTTCTCTCTTACTATCAGCCTCACTATTGCCATGGGGAAGAGTACCACACAGAGAGCAGCAGAGGCTCGGACTTGTCTGACATTATGGAAGAAGACGAGGAAGAGCTGTACTCGGAAATGCAGCTGGAGGATGGAGGAAGACGAAGGGTCAGCKTGACTTCACACAATGCCCTCAAGGTAAGAGTGATGGAAGAGAAACCTTAAGAGTACTTCTCTATTTCTTATCCTTCCTTCAAGGCATTTTTAAGGTCTATTTTGGATTTTGCAGACCACTAAAATGCCTGCTGTGGTGCAACCATAGATCTGGGGTGCAGATTGTTTATGATTTCAAGGCCACCTTTAATATATTGATTACTTTTCCATTATTTAATAGCTAGTGTTTTAGCTAGTTGACTATATTCCTACATGTAACTGTGGAAGTTGCTATTTGTTTTTTGTATTTAGGATCTTTTGCATGTTTATACAACAAAATACTGGACGGGCTACCCAGAAGATGATTTGTTTCTGAAGAAGGAGGTTTACCTAAACAAATATTCATGTGGAAAAAAAATAGCTTTTCATGTCTGAGGAATTCTTTCCCTTTTCCCCACCAATGCCATCTCTTCCTCAGGCTTTAAAGCATGCTTATAAGAAAGAGATTTGGGTGAGTTTTGTTTGATAAATGTGCTTTCAGAAATGTGCTGTTTATTAAGGAATCACCAGAAGCAACAGGAAATATCAACAGTATTACTGCCTTAACCCTACATAGGAATATTCATTGTGAAAGACAATTGTGTTATTACAGTTACAGTGTATGTAAGTTGTTGAACTTACCCAATACAGAATGTATATTTCCCATGGTGTATATGTATGTGTAAATTGTATCTGCTTTTTATGTGCCTAGCAATTAAGCTAAATCGTATTTTCTTAGCAAGTTGGATAATTTGAATGATAAGGAAGCTGCAGATGGGTTTTTCCTCCAACATGCTGTTAAGAAACTTGAAAATCATGCTAATTTCTCTTGAGTAGATTTTTAACCATTGTTACGACAGTTTCATATACTCTTAATTCAGATCTTTTATTTTGATACCATCTGACAGATTCTTTTTCAAAATAAGGATTTTTAACCTTTTCAGAAGAAAAAACCCTTTTTTTTTTTTTTTATTAACATAAACCTTGAAATTGAAATCCCTCAGCGTGCTGCTTCTGTCCTTTTCCTTGGGGAAAAGTGACATATTSCTAAACTATTCTTTATGCATCAGAAAATATATTTACTTTTCAGTTTTACATTAGTATTGTCTATGTTGCTATCTAARCCAAGGGTCCGGACTGTTAATTGGTGTAGCAGATCATTTTTGGCCTGYTAAAGTCTGCACACTTGCCTCTGTGGGTGTAGTGGAGTGGAGGGTGCAGTTGTTAACTCCTGCTGAATTCACTCATTCTGCAGAAGTGGGATTCAGGATGTGAGAATATTGCCCACCATGGTGATCAGGGCACTGATGTAAGATTCACCTCTGGTTCTGGTCCCAAAGTACTTCATAGTTTCCCTTTTACTAGATCCAATCCCTTACTTTTTAAGGATCTCTTTTACTAGATCAGATTCCATTTTGTAAAATCTATAATTAACAACAACAAAAACCCATATTTGCTGAGATTTCCAGACAGTCATCTTCAGATACCTGTTCCATTTGTACCTGAAAGTGTTCCAACCATCCACTTTCAGCTGTGATTGAACGGAGCTGACATTCAGTAGTGCTCTGCCAAGTTAATAGATCTTGCTTGCTTTACTGGGAAATTGTTTTTCCCTCCAGTGGTCTCTAAAACAAGCACTGGTGTGGGTGATACAGGCAGAATTCAACTAGCTTATCAGATCAGAGGGGATATTTGGGGACATATTTGGAATCAAAACTATCCCTATTGTTTATCAACGTTTTTTTTTTCTGATTTATCAGCAATTTTTCATAAATTTTCACAACTACAGTAAGCAATTAAAAAGGAATGAAAATAGCTCAAATAAATTTAGTGACAAAATACCTGTAGGGGATGACATTCCGAAGCCAGTTAAGCCTATATGCTCACGGAGAGGAATTGCTGAAGTCTACAAACCTGTAAAATGAAAAGCAGCAGCTCTTGCATCATCATTCTCATCTCTTCTCAGAGGGCAGCCAAGCTACCAGCTAGCATTCTTCTGTTACACCAACCAATATTTTGTGTAATTACAATGCAAAAATGCAAAGAAAAAAAAAAAATCTGTCCTGTCCAGAACCCTTATTTGATGCAGGCTGGGGTAGCTTTTACTTCCTTCAGTTACAAATAGATACTTCTACTTGTATTAATAGGTTGATTTTAAAATATCAGTTTTATCAATCAAGTACGAGACTGTGATGAAAAATTTGATGATGGTGCAAACCTAGTGGCACCAGAAATCAGCCTGCTCTGCAGGGCTCTTGGTGTGGAAGCCAAGCCTTAAAAATGGTGCAGCTTTTACAGTTTTGCAGAGGAAGCTAGAGTTCCAAGTTTGCAAAATAGGTCTCCTCTGGCAGGAGATCTTCAAGTATTTTGTCATTCCCATTGGATTCTTTAACAGGTGCAAAACAAGCAAGCTTGCTAGAGTAAAATTTTCCTTCTCGGATAAGATGTGTGGTTACAATATAAATCAAAACTTGGCATGGGGCAAGGAGCATCCTAAGCATTAGTGCTGTGTTTTAAAGCCATTCTCATTCACCGTGCTGGAACCTGTATGCAGCTTTTATTGCTTTGTTTTGAGTGCATGGGTTTATTCTTGTTAAGAGCATCACCCAGTCGTTTGTACTGACCTATCATGTTGGATCTGACACCCAGCAACTTCTTAATCATGTCTTTATTTTCACAGATTCTCACTCAAAGCATGACATCCTTTTCACTAAATAAGCTGCATGTCTTATGTTTGCCATTGCTCTAAAACTAATTCTGTCTTTATTTTTCTTTTCTTCTCCCTTTCCCCTCCCATTTTATTTTGTCACACACTATTTGTTCCCTGTCTGGTTTTTAACATTACATAATCTTAAGGAGTACGATAAGAATAAGACCAATGAAGCCACTTTTTTGGAACATCATGACTTTTCACAGCAAAAACATCACAGTAAAAAGCTTTTCAGTATTCCAGAAGTAGCTGAAGAAGATGGTGAATACCCTGAGCTGCTGTACAAGCAGGTTTTAGGTGTGCCCTATAAAAAGAATTCCACCATAGCTAGAGATGCTAGAGCACCTAGGCACTACAATCAAGACCAGCAGCACAACTTCTGGTACCCAGCCAAACATAGACTTGCAGGTATGGAGGATTTTGCGTCAGACGACAAAGGATGCAAATATAGTCGGTCCTTATCAAGAAGCCCCGACAGCGGATTAGACTGTGGAAGTGAAGAAGAAGAGTCTCGCTTTAATTTCAGATACACTTGCAACTCGGTTTCTGCCAACGTTGCCTCTAGCTGTTGTGCAGAGACGGCTCCCTGTTCCTGCAGGAAGAGCACGAGGCCGTTGCTTGCTCGCAGGAAAACCTTAACCAGACAAAGCAGCATCGAGGAAGATTTTGGGGACCTGGGTCCTTCCTTTGGAGAGCCCAGGAGTGAACAGGTCAAGTCCAGTTACGAGAGAAAGTACGAGACCCAGAAATGTGCTAGAACAGATAATTTGTCTAACGAAGATGTTCAGGGAGGCTGGAAGACCGGCTTTAAGGCTGACTCTAGGGCATCTGGTCCACTTGCAAGGTCATCCCACAGAGATGCTGAAGACTCTCTGGTGTGTGAAATAAATCTTCCTTCTAACATCTGCTTGCCAAATCAGTCTGTTTTCTTCCTCTTGTTCTTTTTTTTTTTTTTTTTAATTTATCTTTTTTTTCTTTTTTTCTGAATTACTTTTTAGAGTACATCTTTTGGGCCTATCTGCTGCATTTTCCCCTTTATCCCCCATTCACTTTTGTTTATTATTCCGCTTTTTGCTTTACAGTCTTCTTTTGTGTCACGCTGAAATCAATTTAATTTGCTTTACAATTATTTTTCCCACAGAATGAATTACAATAATGGCTGCTTTTATTAAAGGACAACTGAATCTAAATTTTAATTAAGGGTTAGCTGAACTATAATTTTCCAAAAGATTGTTTTTCTTTATTTTTATTTTGCTCATCTAAATGTTATTTTACAAAAAGCCATGTTTTAGCTGGAAAAATACTTCATCAGTAATTATTATTTTTAACGTTTGTCTTGAGGATTCCATTTCATTGTGTTGCTTTTATTCATCTCACTGTCAAGAGTTTTCAGGATATGCTCTTTATCATGAAGCATCTGTGGACAAGAATCAAGCAATCCCCAGTGTGACAGTGACCCAGATTTGTGGAGTCACAGGTTCATCATATTTCCATTTTCTGCCTTTTCTCTGCACTCTCACTACTTTGCCTTCCTTTTTAGACCATCTCTTCTTGCCTTTGAAGTTGCAGACTGCATCTCCATGCGAGGATGCAGGCAAACAGCTTCTTCCAAAGGGAGAGGCCAGGGCAGATCCGTAACTTTCCAGGATGCCTGTGTGTGATCTTGCCTATTTGCATTTCTGTCCATTAATCTATAGCAGAGTCTCCATGCTTTGATAGGTGCATCCATAGGCTTCCCTGCTCCCCAAAGACCAAAGCAAGTGCTTTTCTGTCCCAGTCTGCAAGAGTCCAGAAATCTCAAATCTGATGCTTCATGTAAGAGTAGAAGTCAGCTACCTATTCTTCTAGACCATCAGCTTATTCTGAAATGGTTCTTTACAATTTTGCCCAATAAAATTGGTGCCAAATGCTGCATGATGATCCCTGAAGACCATTCAAATAGAATCATTTAGTTATTAAAATAGCAACATGTTCTGTAAGGTAGCAAACAGCAAGAGACAGCTGTGATGTGAGATGAAGTGGGTCTACATTCCCTTCTACACGTTTCAGTGACCTTTAAAAGGCTTTAACAACAGAAGGCCGCTAGAGAAAAGCTGTTTTTGCAAAGACAGAAGAATGTGCCCTCGTTCACATGCTGCAAACTGGACAAAACCGTGTAGCTGAGGAGAGAACAGGCTTATCTTCTCAGCGCCACACAGCTCTAATGACCGGTTGCTTTCCTCGGGAGCTCCTAGCATCATCCTAGCAGCAACAACAAAGGCAAAAGAATGTTTCCCAAACAATTCTTTTCTTTTTCTTTTCGTTCTGATGTGTGACTGCTGTTTACAAAACTGCCATAAGTCAGGGCACCATTTTTCCTTTCGCAGGTTTGCTAGGCAACAGTTACTCTTCAGCTAACCTTTGAGTTAAAAGCTAAGTTTAGTTGCCTTTAGAGCTTATGCTTCCAAACGTGATTGACCTGATCCATGTCCCGTCATATAGTCATTAACGATGCCTCCTGATGTAACTCACAAACCTGTCTTTTTTTCTGTTGTTTCTTTTTTTTTTTTTTTTTTAGCTTTTAGGTAATCCATCAGCTGCAGGACGGCCTGAAAGGGTGGAACATGCAGGGCGAAGGTCCTCTCATGGCAGTGCAGTGCCACAAAGGTCTCGACCAATGTTGGTCCCTTCCATTGGTTAGTTGGATGGTTTGGTGCATTTCTGTGCTTTGCAGCCTCCGAGTTGGGCAAGCGGTCCTTAAAGCAGGAGCAGTGGAAGCTTGTCTTGGACCATGGTTCCTCTTAGCTTCTGAAATGGGGTGAAAGGAGTTGAAAAGCATCTCCATAAAAATAWGAGCTAAATGCAAGCATACTGGGGTTGCACAGGGGACTGAATCAGAATCCATTGACATCACTGGGAGTCTTTTGATTGGRTTTAGTGAGCACTGGAGCTTTTCAGAGTTTGATAAAGATAATGTCAAATCTTAGCTAAARAGAAGTGCTAGTATCAGGATGCTACTACAGATAAAACAAATGYAATCACTCACCCATTTAGCCATCCATTCAACCATCCATCCTTCCATTCATCAGCCATCACTTTGCATTCACTTTCCATTTTCTTAACTACTTTTTGGAATTCACCAAGAAAAATGGAAATTTTTAAATATAACAAATTACAGACTTGCATGTATTTAGTGTGTTTGCTTTTCCTAACAGAGTCATGCCTATTCTAGTTTACTCATGTCTTAAAATATATGCTGGTGTATACCAGAAAATCCAAAAAGTAGTACAGAAAAGATAATGGAATGAAGACACTCTGAACAAATACATATCTGATAAAATTGGTGCTGTACACCGACAAACATGGAATATTCACACTGAAAGTCAGGAAATACATGCAAAAGAACTGCAGGAAGAGAACTGTTAGCATAAATGTTTCTCCATGAAGGTGTATGGTCACCCTGGTCCCTATTTCTAACCTGAACTTTAATTTGGGAATATTCCAGGCATCATCAGGAAGACTCAGGCAATTGTCACTTGACATTTGTATGAGGGAGAGGCATCACAAGTGGGGACTGTAGTAAGGATAAGGGAATGCTGCTATTTTTAAGTATTATATATTTTTCCCTTTTCATAGGCTCACATTGGAATCACAGTTCTGTAAATATAAAGAATGATCCTCCTAACGGGCACAATTATTTGGTACCTGCTGAATAGTAAATGTTACTAACGAAGCCATAGATGAGGAGAAACACACTGCTGTAATTCCTAGTATCTGCAGGACAATGTGACTGCTCAGAGGTCTGATTCTGCTCCTATATCCTGGTGTAGCCCAGAATTATCTTCACAGATGTCAATGGAGTAACACTGGTACCAAACGGGATGGAGAGAAGTGGCTCCACGGAGCCCTTGTGCATCTGGCAGGTTGTCCTTAGCTGAACCAAATAGCTTGCAGGTGATGGTGTCAGGTCTGTTAGAGTTTAATGTCCCTTTTCTTTTGCTCTGAAAGGAGTCTTCCTTTCTCAAGAGTAAGGTTTTTTGGTTTATGTTTAGACTGCCTAAAAGTAGTTATCTAATTAAGTTCTTCTTTCAGATTTTCTGGTAAAACTTTTTTTTTTTCCATAAACAGTGGGAGAGTGGGTTAAATCAGTTTTGTTTGTGTGAATTAATCCTTTAGGTCTCCTTTTCAATTTGATTTTAAATGAAAAAACAAGGGAAATGTTTAATTTTATCAGTGCTCACTTTCTGTCAGCAACRTTGAAACATTGAAAATAGTGAATAGTGGCTTCATTGTTTAGTAGTTTGAGAGCAATGTTTTGGAAATGAGATAAAGAAATTAATTTCTTATGATCAGGCAATATTCAGATAAGAGAAAAAAATCTGTCTTCATTTCTTTCAGTAAAACTTAATGAATTAGTATATTTTGTGCTAAGTATGATCAACAGATGCTCTTTGGGGAAACTGAATTAGAAATGAGCTACAACATTGTCTTATACTGATAACATGCYGACTACAGGACAATATGTTCAGTATCAAATAAAAATAATTTGCTGTAAAATTGATGAAAGGCCATATGTGGCTTAGATTTCAAGAGGCCTAATTCTGACTAAATAGACTAGTTATTAAAAAATGCTGAAAGATATGTATGCCTTCTTGCTTTCAGCATCATACTTTAAGAATTGACTTGAAGGAGAATTGAGACAAATATAAACATTGGATGAAACTCTACAGAAAAGCTGCTTCCTGGAAGCTTGCTGGGAAAAAAAAATCTAGAGGATGTGAATTGTATCAGCAGGTCAGATAAATAAAGTGAGTTCAAAGTAGGGCATCCAAAGCATATAATAGAGCACTGTGTAAACTTCATCCCGCTGCTTAAAACGCCTGCTGAGTAGTGAGAAAATTTCCCATGAGTAAGGACTGCAAGTAGGGTTTTAGAAGGAAATTATTTTGATTTTGTCTTTATAATATAAAGTTCTGCAAAGCATGGAATAGAGAATGACATGAAAGGAAATAAAAAAGTAAGATTAAGCCAAATTTTAGATTGTTAAAAAAAAAAAAGACATTTATTAACCTCAGTGTATAGCTTAAAAATGTGATTTCCTAGTTTCCTCATAACAACTTATTCCCCTACATACATGCCTGGAGTAGTCACTTAGTTATTCAACAGCACTAAAGGATTGCTTCTATGATGGAAAATTCGTTATGCAGTGCTGGGGGTTAAATTAGGAGGAAAGACTAAAGCTATAATGTTCTGAGGATTCCAGTGATCAAATCTTTCTCCAAAACATTCTGAAATTTAATCTTTAAAATATTTTTTCCATTAGTTTATAAATACTTTGGATTAATAGTTTCTTGTAGGTAGGTAAGTCAATTAACTACTTTTTGTTTTTAGGTTGTATACTTTAGAAGGTGAAGCACAGTTTACAGTGCTCTTGACCTTGCAGATCTGGCAGGTAGGATTATTTAAACCTCATAATAAGAGAGGATGCCTACCTAGAGAGCTAACAAGCAGCAGTATTTACCCGATGTGAATTTTAACAAGCACAAAATTAAGATGCTTTAAAAAGGAGATGTCTATTTCTGTGATTTTTTTCCCCGCTGMAGTACTTGTAGAGGCTGAGACAGACACCCGGCCAAGCTTAGGCTGCGTTTAGCCTTCCTATGATATGTGAATCAGAAGATAGGCCAAGCCTGCCCTCGGGAGCCTCCGCAAAGGAGACTATACAATATGTTTTAATAGATCATTCCCTTTTTCTCCATAGAAATTACAATGGACAGTAACAGTGAAGGCGGTCAGTCTCGGTCAGGTAGTGAGGGAAATATTTCCCCCGTAAAAGAAGAAGCTTATTATCGCAGCATTGGTGGACACAAGAAATGGCCTCAGCAGCGTACCATGGCCTCTGAATATAGATACGGTATGCCGAACATTATTCATCCTTTCTGCCAGACGCATTTTAGAGCTGCGTGTTGACACGTGCGGGTTCTGTATGCCAACTTTGCATGCAATGCACAATGCGAGGGGAGGTAGCGCTTAGGTCCGCTCTGCCCGGCGCCCAGGTAAGTGTCTCCAGCGCAGCCCTGCGGGGCGTCCAGCCCGTAGCCCCGTGTCCTGACAGTGCCGTCCACCTTCCCACCTCCAGCCAAACCCGAGCACACTGCATTGCATGCACCTCTGTGAAGCTACGCTGCTAGTAATGCCAGTCAGTATTTACTGTACGTACCTGAGCCCTCATCCATCCAAACGACTGCATTGCCACCTGACTCGCGGGGATCAGATACRGCCGACCAGTAGCTGCTCTGCCACAACCCAGTGTCCTGTCGGAGGAATTGGTATTGCCACGTGTTGTTCTGATTTATCACGTGGGATAACAGTCGATTCACATTGACCGCATCGGCCTTTGGCTCTGCCACCTGGGGAAGAAAAAACTATTCTTATTWATAGGAATAATTAGACTGGAATGACAGACTTGCATCACATGAGAAAGGTAGTAATTATATCCACCACTGATAGTATTTGTTGCTTCATCGACATAGAAATCATTACATGACCAACAACTCAGTTTTCATGGCTCATAACACAGTGAACTGAAGTGTCTAACACGTAACCCATAGAAGCAGCCTGGGCCATATATAGATCTAGGAGAGGATTCTGCTTTTTACAAGGGTCCCTGAAAGTTTAGGTAAATTTTAATTTAACGTTGAATTTCCAAACAAACATACCTGACCAGATCACCAACTTGTGTAAATCAATCCRTGTTTATCTAGTGAATTCAGTGCAATTGTGGTAATTTACACCTGTTGGGAATCTGGCTGGAGGCATCCAAAGACTGCAGTTTTACCTACGCAATTATATGTGTGTGTATATGTCTGATGATGCACACACCTTCCTGACAGAACAAAATAATGCACTAATGAACTAATCAAGAGGTGTTTGTGCTCTGTTTAACTGAAGCAAACATGACTGTTCTGAGTCAGGGCTATTACGCTTTAGTGCTCCTAACTGAGATGCACATGGCCATCATTTAGGCTTATGTGTAACTGCCATTAACTGCAGCTGGATGCAGAAAATTGATATTTTTTTAATTTTAAAGAAAATAGGGATCCCTTACCTTCCCTGTTTTCCATTGCCTAATGGGCCTAATGAAACATAAAACGGCAACCTGACTGTGGGAAGGGGAACAGAATAGGGAAGAATCCCATTCTCTGTGTCCCATTGCTTCCTGTCCCATACGTGCCCTTTTCCCCTGTGCTTTGTGCTTGCATAAAGCTTGTTGGCTGGAATTTTTTCCCTACCCTTTTGCTGTTCTGCATTTCCCCTATTGACATTCTTTYCTGCGCTCTGAACCCAAGAGTCAGTAGCTGTCGCCTTAAAGCTGTGCCCCTCTGAAAGTTTCTTCCAGTAGTTTAAATATGTCAAATGTGGTATGAAATGCATCTGACATTGAGGCAAAAAGAGGAATGTCACCAAAAATGTTAAAATAAATGGCTGAATTATTTCCAAAAGTGGGAGTCTTTAATTTGTAAGAGATGTTTACAATATTAGTGTGAAAATGGTATGTAAAAAAAAAAAGAAAAAAAGAAATAGTTAATGCATTTTCATTGTAGATCACAACACTGTGTTTTCAGCTTACTTAAAAAGACCTTGCCAACTGGATGATAAGTATTGATTCATCAAAGAATGCGGCAAAATTATCCGACTCCCATTGAAGTTAGTTGGACTTGCACAATAAGCCAAGGCTTTCAAAACTGGCTTTTATTTTGAGTGCTTAATTTTGGGGGGGGCATCTTCAGTTTCATGTATTTTGAAAGCGCCTACTTTTGGGGAAAATGCAGCTATATGCTCCTTCAAAACAAAATTAAAAGCTATTGAAAGCTGTCGAACAAGATATTTATTGTTAGCTATTTTGCCCAGATGTTCTACTGAAATACATGCTCGTGTTGTTGAATCACAGACTAAATGCATTCTCCGAGTCACTTGAAATATCTAAAATATGTATGAGACAAAATGTCAGTTCTCACTTTGTGTCCCAATTGGTTTTAGTTCCCTGCAGGGGAGTTCAGCACAGTGTCAGTGTTGTGATATTCATGGGTGACCTTTCCTAGTAGGCCTGTGGTTAAAGGCTGTACTTAACCATTCCTCTGGATTTTAACCCATTTTGTTAGTGTTTCGTGTGGTTTAGGGGCACTGCTATGTTAGCTATTGACTGTTCTTGAAGTAAATCGTGGGTACTGTAGTTCCAGCCCTGGCAAACTAACACTACTGAAGTGTGTCTTGCTTGTCTGGAGAGAGGAGGGTATAACCATGTTTTAAACTTGGTGCCTAAAACATGGTCTATCAATACAGCTTGGATGTGCTTTCTTGTGTCCATGAAGAGCAGAAGCAGCTGGGCTGGAAAACATCCAAAGCATGGTTATTTTTACAGCCTACAAGACTCATCATTATGTCACTCGTACATGCTTCATTAGTTTATGGCAACTCTAATAAACCTAACAAAATTTGCTTTCTTAGCTGAGTTGTATTAACACGTGTGTAAATGTCAGTGTGGTGCAGGACRTAACACCACATTCAGTGCATGCAGATTGAATGTGCTTTAAAAATATACAACATTAAAAACAATTTTAAAAGCCCTCAAACTTACTAGGACAATTTATTGAGTTATATTCTCCACTAAAATGCCCGACAGTTTTGAAATGTAAACTGGAGCAAGTTAAAAAACGAGGCCAGCTTGTATCACTGAATTGTTCTTTTCTGACTTCACTTTCATAGATGGCTATGGTCATGACCATCTTTCTCCAGATATTTATGAAGAATCAGAAACAGACCCTGGCACAGAGGATATTTCTACTCGAATATTTGTTGCACTCTTCGACTACGATCCATTGACCATGTCCCCAAACCCCGATGCTGCAGAAGAGGAGTTGCCATTTAAAGAAGGACAGATCATTAAGGTGGGATCTGAAACCAAGGGGCACAAAGGAGCAGTGTTACAAGCAGAGTCCGCTTTGATCCCTGCAGTGAAAACAACTTGTATGGCTAGAGTCCACACATTTTTTTTCCTCCAGAGGTTCAGGCTATAGATCTCGTTGGGTGCTAATGACTTAAAAATATTTAGGTAGTTGGCAAAAATCCCAAAGCTGCCTCCAGTATTTAGGGACAGATTCAATTAGAGATTAAGCTGATAAGTCCRAAATTGGGACTGTGAAGCCACCTCCTCAACATTAACCACAAGCTCTATGGAAAATTGCTTCAGAGATGCCATCCTCTTGACTGCAGAGCTACTGCAGAAGTGCCTAGCTTTGTACCTTCATGCATAACCAGAGCTGCTGTAATATTTTAAAGGCTGAGCATTTTRATTAATACACATTAACACACTTTAAATGAATTAGTAATTTTCATAGCAGATTTAACATATGGGGACAACCTTCTCACAATTTGCAGAGGACACCACAACTTTCTGAGGGTTCTCTCCCGGATRTGGACACCAAGTCATTAATAGTGAGCATAATACCACAAGAAATAACTATATGAATAGTTCCATAAACATCATTGTAAACCAGTACGTGCATTTTTTTTTTGCTGTGCTAAGGAAGTGAATGTCTCTCACTTTTACGTRCATTTTATTGCAAACAAAATGGTCAGATTTCTACTTACTTGTCTAAAATCACAATTCAGGTTACCAATTCATAGTTTATAGCAAAAGTCAGAGTAGTCRAAAGCAGATATTATATATTCCTATCCAAGCTGTAGTTGTCTATGACTTAGTAACCATCTTTCATGCATTAAAAATCATAAATGATAAAACCGATTGACCACCACTCKTATTCTTTGCAAACAGGTTTATGGGGACAAAGATGCCGATGGATTCTACCGGGGTGAAACCTGTACAAGAATTGGCCTTATCCCATGTAATATGGTCTCTGAGATCCAAGCAGATGATGAAGAGATGATGGATCAGCTTCTAAAACAAGGTTTTCTTCCTTTGAACACGCCAGTTGAGAAAATAGGTAAGGGGAAATACGTATGCTTTACCCAGCTTTTGGGTGCTGTTAACCTGGCTGGATCTGCTTCGCCTTTGTTTCTATTATATGCAGATGCATCTGAATTTTACAGCAATTTATCATATTATGGGATACTTTCTGTGTCAGTATCTGGATAACATTATTCAACAAATACATAATCTTGGTTCCACCTCTYGTTATAAATGAAGACTTGAATCTTCACTACTTCACTCACAATTTTATTTTTTTATTAAAGTCTTTTTTGTCACTGGAAAAATTCCTAGACACAGAACAAATCCCTGTGCTTTGGAGTGTGCTGTGCTGAGATGCCTTGTGATATGCTCACTGCTGAAAAGCATAAAAAGAATCACTTATTTGTTGTTCTTTTTACTCTTCTACATTTTCCTACTTTACCAGTAATTTAAAGGGATGGTGGCAAAGGGTTATGTACAATATAATTTGGGATAAATCTACATACTAGGAGATTTTACAGATACTGCAATAACAAACCCTTTAAAAAGCAGAGTTTGACCAAGTGCTTCTCTGTTATGGATCAGTAGTAGTAAATTATTGATTATGCATTGTACAGAGATGCACATGCAAGTATCTTAAGCTTCCTTCTGAAGATAAACAACTATCTCAATATGTTGCAAAACTTTCAACATAATTCACAGATATATAAAGGGCTGGAATTGGTTCGGTCCAGTTTAAAAGTGAACTGTAAAAGTGGTTGCTAAAAAACAAAGAAATCTTCCACAACTCTCTTACTAGATTGAACAAAACCTTACCACTTCTGAAATCATATTAGTAATTATGAGATTTTTTTTTTTTGAGATATTGAGATATCTAATTTTTCTCACTTGCCTGTGAAAAAAGAGGGGTGATTTAAGTTCTTAAATGCCGTATTTTCACATTTATGTATTTATTGATGCCATGTAAATACCACAAGTACTGCCACCCACATGCGCTTGTAAATACCACTGCCCATCTGCTGCTCTAGGTATAGCACATACACCTATAGGTACCTCTATAGGCCAGAAATATGGAACAGGTACAAGGCAGCTGTGCCTGACGGGGTCATCTAAGGCATTATTCTTCAAAGGTAGTTGTTAATATCAGTCTATGTCATTAGAAGTCTTTTGGAAATAGATACCTGCCCTGTTTTAGGTACCTCTGTAAATTCAACTGGGGGTCTGTTTGGATTAGTAAGTGGCTTGATATATTTCTCATTCTATTCAGAGGTCACATTTGAATACAGAAAATAACTTGCTAAATCAACTGCATCCTTGTTTGAAACATGTTGATACAAATTATCTTTGAAAATGAATCCTAATATAGCTTCCCCATAATTTGAATATTTTGGCTATTTTAAGGACATAAATATGCTGCAAATGTCATTGGCTCTTTTCATTTGCACTCAACTGTCAGTATGTCCTGAAATAGCTGAGAGTCTTAATCCTGGACAGAGGAAGAGGCATTTTTTTTTTTTCTAGAAATACTGCTCTTCTTTATACTTGTAAACATTTGTTTTTTCATTCTTGGATGTTTCTGAGAGCTGTTAGCAACCTACCCCCAGCAGTTCACCTTTAAAAGCATCATTGTCCTTCTAGTATGAATTAAATTTGCTAGTCCTATTTTAAAAGAAATACAGGAATGGATTTCAACAGAATAGTTAGTTTGGCTTAATCTAAAAGTAAGTATAATTTGAGAACAGCAAACAGACCCATGTGCTCGGAGTCCGGCCCTCGCAGGGCTGCCCATGTGGGTCTGTTAGCAGAAACAGGCTCAAAATTGCCAATCTGTCTCGTGCCATTACGTTTCCAATGTCATATCAGACACCTTAACGTGCCGTGTTCATATGACTATATTCTTAATCCTTTGCCCACATTAAAGCCTTAAAAGCCGAACTCTGAACAGCTTCATATCTTCTCTTCTTTTATTTGTATGCATTCCTTTCCTGAAGTCAACTGTGACCGTTTCAAAGAGAGCACACGCTCTGTACACCGCAGATCCCGAAAGTCTAAAAGAGGTCTGTGCTAAGCAAACATCATTTGATTCAAGCTGTAAATGAGCTGAAATGACTTGATCTGTCTGGTTTTATTTTTTCATGCCTTTAATCCCTTGCAAACAAGAAGGTGGAGAATTTTGACATTTAGAAATTAGACATAGGATCTCCTGTCCCAGAATGATGGGATCTCGCCCACGAGAAGCACTTCAGGCTCAGAGATGTTTAGGTTCAGGTCAGTGTGGCTTTGGGGAAGAGGAGGATTGGGTCCCACAACTGGTGCCATCGCTGTGGACCTCTCCTTGTGCTCTGTGCAAAGCCCTTGCATTGGTACTGGAGAAAATAAGAAGTGGTTTCCTTACCTCATGCCTCTCATCAGACCTGCCCTCGGCGCCTGTTTGCCAGTAGTACTAACAAGCATGTGACCCTTGCCGCAGCAATCATCTGCAACAATCATGCTGATACCATTCAGATTTAGAAGGAAGCCCATCCTGGATTTCTCTGTAAATGTTTAGAGATTGGTCAACAGGCGTTTCAGGTGGATTCCAAAAAGTATGTTTTGCTCCTTTCCTTTTGCTGCCCACAAAGGAAACTTGTAAAATTAAACTGTGCTTGAAATGGGGTTTTGTAGTCAGGGAGCATTGGAAATATTGCAGAGCATGAACATACTAGGAGACCTCTCCTGCCTTGGGGCAGCTGAGAGAGTCCAGTTCTTGTTCCAACCATCTCGCAGAAAGGGGAAGATTGTCCCACTACACAGCTCTTCAGAAGCTGGAGGGAGGTGGTAGTCAATGTGTGGAGCAAAGCAAAGCAGAGATCCGAACATTTGTCTTTTATAAACCTGGTGATACCCAAGTGTTCCAGCCAAGAACTGCTGTAGGTTCCTGAACATCACTTGTGCAAATAGGTCAGAGGCTTCAGTATCTTAGAGTAATGAGGGCAACCATGGTGCTCAGCAGCTTAGGAAATGTACATGTTGTTTTGGAGCCTATGTCTGCGTCCATAGGCTTGGTGGTCTGTGGCCACCAGTCATTCCACTAGAGAAATGCAGAACTTTTGTATGAAAATGACATACCAAAAAGCTGCACCTTGGTTTTTCTTTTGAAATAACTTTGATAGCTTTGCTTCCTTCCCTCTCCTTCTGACCGGAGCAGAAAGGAACAGGCGGAGCGGCCGGCAGCACTCGGTTTCTACAAGGAGGATGGTGGCCCTCTATGATTATGATCCGAGAGAAAGTTCTCCCAACGTGGATGTAGAGGTACTGACATAGCTATTCACTATTTTTTTAAATGTATATGTCCATAATTTAGACAATACGTAGCTGGCACTAGAAAGCAGTGTTGTACATTACAGTTGACATGTAGAAAAGTAAGAGAAAGTCCACAATTACAAATATGTTGATGTTTGTAGACAATGGTTTTAGACAGATGAATGTTTAAGAAAGGTTCATGAGCAGTGTGCAATTAGCTCTATGGTTCTTGCTCAAACACATTAAAGGAAGATCCTTTCTACAATTTTGATACTGTGGCTCAATGCATTACAATGCCTTGCATAGGGTTGTACAATACATGTATCTCTACATAAAGTAGTGTATGAGGGGAAAAAAAAATACAAATAGTAAGGAATAATTATTTCCCAACTCTTTGCAAATTTCCCTTACACATTTCCAGATAGGAGGAGGATTATTTTCTAGAAGCAGCCGAGTTCAGCCTGACAAACTGATAGAGCAAAGCATGCTTTTAAATGCCTGTAACCCACCTTGCATCTGAGCAGCAACATGAGCTGCCGATGTCCCTCTTTCTGCAGGCTGAGCTTACGTTCTGCACAGGGGACATTATCACGGTCTTCGGTGAGATTGATGAAGACGGATTTTACTATGTAAGTTGTCTTTTATCTGGCCAGGCTGAACTGCAGTGGGCTCGGTGGGAACAACTGCTGCTAGAGGGATTAGGAAATGGCAGCCTGGCTGGCTATAAGGGAATAATTCCAGCCTGGTATTTTGTGGAAACAGCTATGAACCTAATTCTTTTTTAAAAATCGACCTATATGCTATGCATGGAAGCACTTTTAAAAAGGGATTTGCATCACGGTTCCCATTTTCCCAAAAAGGAGAGAACATTACTGCACTCAAGGTGACTCATAGTCACCTCAACACATGTATTTATGGATTGTTATTCTTAGGAATCAGTTTAGCCTCCAGCATTTTGCAGATAGTGTTGATTTAATTATAATATTCACTCAAGTGGAAAACTGTTCACCTTGTTACAGGGTGAACTTAATGGACAAAAGGGGCTGGTTCCTTCCAACTTTCTTGAAGAAGTGCCTGATGATGTTGAAGTCTATCTGTCTGATGCACCCTCACGATATGTTCAAGACACACCGATGCGTACAAAAGCAAAAAGGGTAAGCAACTGAATAAGGAAAATCTTAATTTTTGTTCTTTTGCATTGTATTCTGTCTCATATATAATTTAGACATTAATTTTAACATTTTTAAATCCATTTGCCCATTTTAAATAATTTAACTTTCAACTATATAAAACTTAGCAGAATAAGGAAAAGTGATTTTGCTTAGCCTTTCACCAGCATGTTGCAAACATTTGTAAATGAAGAACCTAAATTTAAAATTTAATTGCAGTCATTAGAGTGTCTCAGTTATAAATGGAGTATTGCCAGCTTTTCCCTGGAGAAGACAGTTACTTCTTAACGCTTCCTAACTATTCCTACTACATGCAATGCTTAGGTGAAAACAAGAGTTCTTGCAGAGGACAGACTGGTGCAAGCATTCCCATAAATTCAGATAGTAAAAACAACTGACACTGTTCATCACTTTAACTCTTAAGATTTCCCGTTCCAACTGGCATTAGTTAACTGCCCACAGACTTCTCTTCTAGGAAAGACTAGTCATGTTTAGAGTTTCTCATTTTTGGTTTTGTTTCATCACTGCAATACCTTTATATATTATATATTTTATATATATTTTTATTTCTTTGCTCATCTGCTTGGAAACAGAAGAAGAGTGTTCATTTCACACCTTAATAAGGCAATGTAGCCTTCACGTAAGTGAGCAACTGAAGATACCAATAAAGATACCAATTAAAGCTACCTGACTATCTAATGCAAGTCTTGAAACTTAACTGTGGGGAAAGAAAAGAAATATGTCTCCAAAATCGTTGGCCACAGAGAACAGGCTCTATGCGTTTACTGTATCTACGCAAATCAATGTAGATTTTTTTGGAGACAACTCCTTTAAAAAGGAAGTCTTGGCAAGGTAGTCAATTAGGTCTCACTTGATATGAAGGTCAACGTTTGGAGCATATTTCTTATTGAGCTAAATGTTTCTGTTTACATGGAAAGGAGAGTTTGATGTTTAATGGCCCTACAATGAGAGCTGCATATTGCATTGCTAGCCAACCTGAGAGATGCAGAGTCCTCACAGCCCTCTAAAGAGAAAAAGCACAATCTTCTCAGCCCTTCAAGAACATACAAAYGACATGGAAGCTGATGAGTTCTGTAGTTCATAGGAGTAGAGTTGGCTTTGAAACTCGTTAAACTCCACTATAGTTACKTATAGCTGCCTTACAATGTATTTTTCCATGATTGATTATCCTCCTGTTTGCCTAACTCTGAAGAATTCTGAACAAAACAAATGCTGACGTGAAGTAGGACTTGGAGAAAGGACACACATTTGAAATACTAGCAACTGTTTGGTTTACCAATGCAATAGAGGTCTTGATATGAAACATGCAGCTCACTCAATGAATGCATTAGACTAAATATATGGTATCTTCAGGTGTACGTTGGGGTGCTTTACTAAGTTGTTTTGTTTTGTTTTTTTGTTTTTTTTTTCTTTTTTCATTAGAATTAGACCTTGATTTAAAATCAAAGTTGGCTTGAAGCTCCTTTGCTTAATTCACTGTTGCACAACAAGGCAGTAAATTGCTAATGTTTTAAACACAAAATACCCAGGGTCCCTAAGGCATGGATTCTATTATGAAAATACCTTAACATATACTACCATGTTTTGTCAGCAGGGCACCGTAGTTACCATAGGCTTAGTATAAGTAGTTTTAGCCTCTTCATCCAAGTGTTTTTGATGATTAAAAAAAAAAAAAGTATAGCTCTGTTTAAACTATTTTAGGAATGCTGTCATTCTAACTATTGTACAAGGCTTCGCTTCCACTCAGCAACTCATAGCTGCAGCATACACATCGAGCATGCAGGGTCTTTAAGCTTTCTTTGATTGCAATTAAGGTTCATTTTAGCTTTCTTTTTTTTTTTTCTTTTTTTTCTTTTTTTATTTTTTAATTAAGCCAGTGTGCCATCCTCTCAAATATGTATATATGCTATCTAATTTTAAGGAAAAGGCATTTAAAGGACATTAMAAGAAGGGGGGAGGGAGGGAGGGTTTCTGTAGCATTTGCAGTAATTCCTTCTGGAAATGGTTTGGCTTCTACAGACTACTGCTCTGTGGCGATTAATTATCAAGTTTTAATTTTCTTGAATCCATAGCTACAAGTGTCCCTCTTCATTTGTGTGCTCGCTGTCAAGAGTACTGTAATGCAAATCCAGTTCTGTTGGCTTTTGCCAGAACTATGGCCAAACCACTTTATCCAACTCTGTTCAAAAGTGTTACCAACTTCGGGCTCTACTGGAGTGTGTTGTCTTGCCTGTATTTTTTTCTCAAAATTTCTCCATTAGTTTCCCTAAGTCCCTATGGTTTGTTAAGCCACAAAGTGAACCTGACCTTTTATTTAAGTGGGTAATGGGACAAGTGATGTTACCAGCTTTCTTGATGTTAATAGCGTTTAAGCTTTCAAACATTCAGTAAATTATAACAATGTACCTAATAGGTTCCTCCTGAGAATACAGGTACCCCAAGGAGAGCACCATCACCCACAGTCCATCTCCATTCTGGGTCACCTACGTCATCTGTGGGTTCTGGTAGTCCCGGGAGAGGCAGGGATATGTCCTCGAAAAAGAAAAAGGGGCTGCTTTCCAAAGGCAAGAAACTGCTGAAAAAGCTTGGTGCAGTGAAATGATTCATGTACTCCTGGACAACTTGTAAAGCTTCCAATCTGTGTATTTTTTATTTTTTTTCAAACATCAAAACTAGGGCTTTCATGACTATGCAGTGCAACTTAACTGAACCCTTGGCATTTTTAACTGTCATCATGTGAATCGCCTACTCAAACTGGCAAGGAAAAAGCACGTGGATTTGTTCCTGCTAAAAGTCAATGTCACAAATATAATTTTTATTAAAAAAAAAAAAAAAAGGGGGGAAAAAGAAATTGGGAGAAGGGACAATAAGACCAGAACAAGAACACTGGTTTAGTTGAGGTCGCCTCTACTCTCGTAACTCCATTGGATATAGCTCAGCAATTTGGTTTCTTTAAGCCAGGATGGGAAAGAAAACCCCCTTCCCTGACAATGGCTCCACTTTCCCCTACCCTACCTAGACTTTATCCTAAAGAAAGATGGTCTTGAAACTCCTAGTTTAATCAGCCTTGATGTTTTGCCTTATTAATGCACAATGATTTGTACTGTCTAATAAATATACAGCGTATACATTGTATGTACTGTGTATTCAACTGTCTTCATCTTCCCTAAAACATGGTAATTTAAGATCAAGTACTATGTTGCTGACTCCATTTAACGTCCAATGYAACTCCTGGGAGTTTGAAAGTGTTGTGCAAAATGCTGCTTTTTTTTTCTCCTTAGAAATAAAAACAAAATGCCCATATATGGATTACTTTTGTCAACATATTCTCACTAAAGCCAGATACAGCCTAAGTTACTCAGAGAACGCACCCACACTTTAAAATATCCAAACCTGAGGTTTCAGTGTCCTAAACTAAGAAAAAAAATAATAAAAAATTGCTCCCTTTTCAATTTTTTTTTTTTTTTTTGCTGTGATGGGCATTGTTGTATTGACGTAAGATTCACCCTAAAATGCATGTCTAAACTCAAATGGAAAACTGTTAGATACATAAGCCGTAGCCAGTAAAAAGGCTGCAACAGCTGAAAAAAATTWWWAAAAAAATCAAATTATCTGCAATATTGGCATCTCAGTAAAACTTTACACATTGATGGCAGTCATTGGCTGTGACTATTTTGTAATTCTTGTCCATTTGTAAATTGTTTTTACTGTTTATACATACTTTTCAGACTGCCTTTCTTTTTGTAATTTATGGAAGGTTTATAAATGAATGATCAAAGCTTCCCCATTGTGTCTTCAGATAATAATGTAAATTATTGTAAGATACCGTGTGCTAGATTATAACATTTCATTTAAAGAAGAAAAAAATGGCCTAAATGTGTGGTAAAGTACTGTGTGGGTGTGTGCATGTGTACAATGTTGTGTAATATATTTTATATAAATAAATAATTTGATATTTTGTAGAGTGCAGTATGTTTTGTATACGTGCTGTATGAGCTTCTCAAGTGAGGGGCTAGCTCCCTTTTTTAAAATACGCAAGGTAAGACACTTACCAGAAGCCCTGGAAGGATGTGATGATGCACTAGCAGTGCAGCAAGATGCTGAAATGCTGCACCCCACTGGAGCAGGAGCAGGCTGCAGGGCTCATCTTCTGCCTTTGCTGAGCTAAGCATAGAGGAGCAGCTTCTTCATTCACCTCAAATAACAGAAATCATTTCCAAATGAATGGCAGAAACCTGTCACAGGTATAAACAAATTATCTACAGCTAGGAAGAAATGGAGAGACAGCAAGTCCTGAACAGGGAAAGCCACTGGAAGCCACTGACAAGGGACATGCAGTAGAACTAAAATATTTTTGGGGAGATGGGGAAGAGAAGCCCCCTCTGCTCTTTGTTACAAATTTCAAGGTCACCAGGTTGGTCCAGGATTCTCAAGCTAGAAWGGAGCTTTTCAGAAGCAAACACCACAAACACAAGCACATGAGCAAATACTACAACAGGAACAACTTTATTTAAATCTCTCAAAGAAAAGGAACACGTTTTGCAACAGTTAGCTAGAAAAAAAAATAAAAAAAGCAGCAATAATTCAAATACCTCCCTCTCTGTATGCACTACTTTGGCTACCTCACTAATACAAAAAATAATATTTTTTTAAAAAAATGAAATTTGGCAAACAACTGCAGACTTCTTTTTTGCTTTAGAAATTAAGCTAGTCCTGTGCATTAGTTACTGATGAAAATCTTAGAAACATGCCAATTGTTACAAGAAATTACGTTCTAGCTATTTGGAAATGCGTAACAAAAAAATAAAAAAGAAAAAAACATGACTCATACAACCATGCGGGATGATCTTTGCAAACTGTGGCTGAGGTAGGCACTGATATTTTTGGACAGAAATTAACTGAATGTCAGTTAAAAAAATTAAAATAAAATAAATAGAAAAAAACATAGTCAACCAGGATAATTTTGTTCAAATTAGGTATTTGCAGTTATCTAACACAATGATTTAATTACACTATGCTATTGATGCGACTTCTGTACTAAGAAAAAGCATGTTAAAAGTTCATGCTAAGTAATTAAAGCCCCCGTAACAGCATTCAAGCTTGGTAAAACTCAGCACTTTTAGGAGAAAGGAGTCTGTAGTTTCAGATAATACAGAATACTCCTGTATCTATGATAGACACAGAAATAATTTTCCCTGACTTTTCATGAAACTTTGGCATGCTTAGAGCTTTCCCCTTAGTTGATGTTGGTCTCTACAATCCCATTTCCTCTACTGCTAGGAAGAGAAGTGAACACAAGGTTTTCATTTTCTGTTTTTAATTTCCCTGAAATACACTTGCAAGGTACACATTAAAAATTGTGTGTCACGTTTTACAGCAGTATGGAGTTACTAGAAATAGCTTCCCTCTTTTCTGGAGGCAGCTGAAATGAAGTAGATTAGCAGACAAAACTTTGCCCACCTTTTAACAGCCAAGAAAACAAAGAAAAATTCAACCACCTTTTGAAAAATGAAGGGTTAAATGTGAAAACTGGAGAAGCCTGGATTCTGGTCAACATAACCAAACACCCCATATGGTTAAAAAAAAGTAATGCAAAGACTTCCCAAAGACATAAATAAGACAATGAATAACTGATACTATTTAGTGAATAATCCAAGAGAAAAAATGCATGCTTCTTTTAGCCAGCAGAGTCCCCTACAATGAAAATAAAGTTCCACTGCAGTGCATTTACATTACCCAACACATGAAATTATCTTTAAAGAACAACACCCCCCTGACCATTATACATGTTCTTGCGCACTACATCGTGCAGGTGACATTTAGCCTTCAAAGGTAGTACAGTCTGTCTGAAAGCAACAAGTTGGGTTCCTTGTGAATACTCTGACCGACAAGGAAAGCCAGTTTATGGGCATACTGGCAAGGAGCAGGCACTCGGATAACACCCTAGAGAAGGGAAGAAAAAAAAATGAAAAARAGGAATTAATCTTCAGTAATTGTAACAAAGCATAAAACATGCATTGTAAAAGAACCCTGGAATTCAAAAGTAGTAGTGTCTGTGAAGTTTCTATTTCTTGTAACCTATGCAGATTTGTCAAACATTACATATATGGAATGACTAAAAAAAATCTGTTTTATAGAAACAAAAAAAGAAACAAACTGCCATGTAGGTTTACATTCAGTACTATACCGTACAGGAATGGAAACTGGAATTCACGTGAGTTATTACCCCCAAACTGACAAACCTAAAACACACTTCAGACAGGAGCTGATTGTGTGCTGATTTTAGCATGCAAAAGGAGAGGTCTTGAGGGAAATGGAGATGCAACTTTCTCTCCATTCCACACAAAGMTAGACTCATTTCTGCAGGTAAGAAAACCGTTTCAGTTGTGCTTTTGACCTAAGATTTTGGGACAATTCTGAAGGGCAAGTATTTTGTRGCAAGACTAACACTTACCTTAGACCTTCAAACTTTGGAAACRCAAGACAATTTAACATGACCAAACCTCAGACCACTCCAGGTCACAAGGCAGAACCGCAGGCTTTTTTGGCTTGGTGTGGGTGTTCCAAGTTCACCTTCTTCCACCTTCCTCCCTGCACCTCATAAACTTTTCCTGTCGTTATTGCATAGAGCTGCTTATTATTAGACAAGAAAAATCCTATCCTTTCCCAGAGAAAATACTTACCGACCAGTTATAGTACATGTGGCAAAGTTTGTAGGTTAAACGTTGTACATGATCTGGTTTCAGTCCGCTGCTGTCATAAATTACATTATAATGTGTGGGTGCAACACAGCCACTTTTCACTGCCTGGCTCACAATAAAGAAATCATACCTGTAACAAAAGAAACAAAACCCCCAGAAGTKTGATAGTAGTTTTACTTTCCAAAGGGCAGAAGTGTGGAAAATACTCTTGTAGTTTCCACAGTCAATTTAACATTGGATACGTTCCCCTTTATTATGCGATGCCGGGCAAAGTGAAGTATTACTCACCATTCTGGTCTGGTAACCTCTACATCAACAACAGTACCAGGGGGTGGATTTTGAGGTCTGCCACCAGACTGGAAAAAGAATCTCGTGCTTATTCGTTTCTTCACAACTATCACAGTAAGTCTTGGACTAAATTAAAATAAATAAATTAATTAAAAACGCATCAAGTGTATTGCAGAAACATATTCTCTGGGGTTTCAAGTTGAAAGCAACAGTATTTTTAGTAAAATGCAAGCCATTGATGGAMGCTGAACAAAAGCAAGCACTTCCATACCCAGCAACTCTAACTTATTTTGTGATCTTGCCTGCTGTGCCAACGAATAATCTGCTCTGAATAATTAAGMAACATGAAGTCAAAGAACCACTTAAATCAACAGCAGAATCATGTGAACTACTTSAGCAGAAAGCAAGTGTGTAGACAATATTCCTTATAGAAATCCTTATAGAAAGATGATAATCTTCCTCAGGAAGAAGATTACCGAGATTTTTTTGGTAAAATGTCATGAGACTTTTTTGGTTTGGAAAAATCAGGGGTTTGGTGAAAATATACTTACTTATAGTCTTTACCAACAGATCTCAAGCAATCTAGAAGTTGCGGCACCTCATAATTAACCAGAGTTTTTAGTTGCCCATCACCTACACCATCACGATACACCATAACACGAGAGGGTAAATACTTATTCCACTTGAACCAGTCTCTCAAAGCAGCTTTCAAAGAAAAACAAAAAAGCATTTATCAACATGAAAATTCATTCCAAAACTAACATTATCTGAAGCAGATATGCATTATACATCGAATTTAACTAAGAAAGAATTCTGATTTACCTATGTATCAACAGAGGGGAAAAAAAAAAAAAAAAAAAAACCCTAAAGGCATTATGTAGTCCAGTGGCATCTTTGACAAGGAACTGTCATCCCTCTCAACTGTTATGTGACATTTTCTCCCACGCCTTCTAGAAGTATTGATATACATTCAGTTATATAATTAAAAACATCTACAGAATTCAGTAATGAGATACCACACTGAAGAAACATTTTTCTTAGGGAAGGAAGTAAATGGGAAAAACTTGTGAACCTGCATTCCAAAGTTTGTTCAGAGATAATGTACTGAATAACCATAATGATAAACAAGCAGTAATCTAAAGGGAAGTTAACTGTGCAAAAATATACTAACAGCTCCTTTCTCAAAGGCAGCATCCCTTCTTCCCATGCTAGTAGCTGTTAGCAACATTATAACTGTATTTTGAATCCATTCTTATCTAAGAAAAAGTTGCTGATCTTTCCCTTTAAGGCAGCAAAGGAAAATGAAGCTATCTTTCCCTGAAAATGATTCAGCAAGAAGAGGAAGCCATCCCTTACTTTGCAAGCAGGCTTTGAGCCCATCCACAAGTTCTTGCCCACGATCCTGAAGAACACAGCGTGAGAACCACCTGTGAAAACAAAAATGAGACRTGACTTTCAAAGTACTTCCTAGATGTATTGCAACAGCAAGAGTTGTTTTGAAAATGGCTATAACCACTTATCTTTAGGGCTACCAAGGCAGCCAAGTAAGATTTAGTACACTATRGGGGAACACTGGCCCCACAAAGCCACTGTGGCAGCCTTAGCATCATATTAAACTCTTCAGGTTTTCAAACAAGTCCAAGACAAATCTGTCACCCTATTGCTGTTTACCCCAGGTCTTGCCCATCATTTGCCTCTCATAGCCTGTAAGGGACAGAGTACAACAAAGAATTCCTACGTATGGTCTGTTATTATTTTAACATGCAGTTCTTATTAAAGAAGTTCTTACCGAGTCATTCCTTGGTTCAGGTTAGCAACAAACCCTGCAATGGAGCGCTTCCCAGATACCGTGTCATGGTAACAATCAATTCCCACAACCATTAGCTGTTTCAGCTGAAAAGGAGATCAACACAGAACATGTATTAGTGGGTGCAGACATGTGAAAAGCACCTGCCACCTCCACCCTACAGTGTAAAGAATCATGATATAAACTCTACTGTTTAAACACTGAAGTTATGAGCACTGAGTTTTCAGAATTCTGCAATCTTTTCTCGCATTTAACTGCACTTCTCATATATATAAGGTGTAAAAAGAGAATACTCCACCAAACTATGGGAAAAGAATAGTAGGTTATATTCCCTCCCCCCAAATTTCTTACTTTTCAGTATATAAAGGTAGCATAAAAAAATTACTTACTGGGATCTCAACACTCCAAAGTTCTCCACCCATCTTACAATTCATTTGTAAGGCAATTTTTGTTGCTATGGCCATAATACTCTGAGGTTTGCTTAAAGTGCGAGCAGTCACACACTGACTTGGAATGGGACAATCTGTGCACAAGTATTTCTTGATAGCATCATACTTATCTTTTCGGGAACTGGACAAGAGACAAACTACCTTGAATAGGGGAAAAAAAAAAAAAAAAAAGAAAAAAGGTAGTCTCAGATTTACATTACAGCTGTAGTGCTTTTGAGAATATTTTCCATACCATGACAAAATTCAAGAGTTCTCAATAAAAGGATTTTTGGAATGTTCTCATGTCTATATGTTAGGACTAATTACAAAGGTCCTTTTCCAGAGGAATGTTCTGGGTGGTCTCAGATTTGAGCAGAGTGTGAGAACAAGTAAGCAAGTAAGGAAGAACAGACATTCAGAAACATTCTCAGAAGTTTTATTTCTGAGAATGTATCTACTAGTGTTAATAAGATACAAATTGTAGAGATTAACATACTTTGAAATTAGGGATTCAAATACATACTATGTTTGTGTCAGAAGTAATATTTTGTTGTAAAACCCTTAAATAAGCTTCTGTTCTATCATCTACTTCAATCCTGAAAAGGAAGAGGAAAAAAAAATTATGAATACTTAAAAAAAATAATAACTGGCAGATATAACTGATAAAACCTAAGCAAGTTTGAGAGCTCTGTATCATCATTACTGTTATATTTATAGTTGCTAAAAATCCCAGCAGGTTTCTCAAAAACCTACATGACTGCCTTGTTCATTCTGATTCCCATGGACGGTGTGACTTTAAACAGATTTTGAAGTAATGCATTAGCAACATCATAGTTGCGCCGTGTGTATATTAATAACCAATTGTCCAGAGGCTTTGCATTGATCAAGGGAGCTCCCCTGGTTTCCTTTGACCAGTCAGCAAAATGAGGATTGTAGTCAAACTGTAAAAGAACATTAGGGTGAGGGGAGAGATAATAAAGAAAATCAACATATAATCATGACACAGTGTAGTTAGAAATTAATTWGTGATAGATGTAGATTTGTGATAGACACAGTATTACAGCAGAGGCTTCTATAGGGCAGATTTGTAGTGCTATCCTGGCAAACAATTTACTCTTTCAGCTACTCGTGCTGAAGATGGAACTTAGCTTTGAGTGAGTAGATTTTGCATGAACACAGTCCACCCAAATCAAATCAACAGCTTTTCATCTGAAAGCTTTAGGTTTCAAATAACTGAAAATTTTGCTAGTAAAAATTAAATTCCCCTAGCTTATATATCTTAAGCCACTTTCTACAGACAGAAAGGACTGTTCTGAAAAGACATTGCAGTAATTCAAGTTAGGAAGATCTTGCAACATTTTTTAAACTACAGTTTGAGAAACTCAGAAGTGTCCTGTTTGAACAATAAATGACTTGAATGACTTGTTTATGACTTCATGCAAAACTCTTGTTTAAAAAAATTATCTAGTACTTCATCCTTTAACAATCTGTTTTAGTGGTGAATGGCCTAAGAGATTTTAAGTTGTTTATTTACCACTCTTCCTGCTTGATGAATCTTCTCTGCTTGAACAACTCTTCCCGTAAAGGATAGTAAGTTAGAATCGAAGCTTAAACCCCAGTCTCGAAGCTCTCTTTGAACACTGTCATCTCTATTTAAAAAAAGATTTATATTAAAACATAATAATTGTGTCTGACTGAGATGCATTTTATATATATATTTTAAAGGTTAATATGTTTTCAAAAGCTTTGTTRCAATATGAATTTCTCATACGAATCTTTCATGCTAAAGATGCACAGAATATCAAGGTATCATACTTTTGGATGTAGTCAATAAGTCTTCCAACTTCACGTTGCCTTTGCTCAGGTGTCAGTCGTGTATGAACAGATAAGTCTTTCATCATATTAAAATCATTACGCATCTTCTCAGTTAACCCTGTATATTAARGAAAATTAATTTCTTAGTTTTTCTACTTTCCATACTCTATTTTCCATACAGTAAAGTTCTCTTTTCAACAAAAGTTCTATCACCAGAGTCCACAAGTTAGCAGTGGGCCAGTGTTCCACACCAGATGTAAAGGCTATGTAATATCAAATATTCGACAACTTTACAGCCTCACTTAAATATCTAAGCTTTTTCTTTCAAAACTTGTGTCCAAACTCACACTTACACAATCAAACACTTTTACAGCAACCTTTTGACAGATTAAGTAGAACTACCAGTTCTGKTAGTAGCCACAGTTTGCCAAATTCTTAGAAACTCTGTACCTGTTAGATAGCATAGCTCTGGAATTAGTACAGCAGGTCCTGGCATCAGGCTTCCTCTCTTCCTCCTGGGCTGACTGACCAAGACAGGCTGGTTCAAGTCAGTAATGTCTTGATTATATTGCTGTATTAGAAATACATGTTAATTTTTCAGCAAAAAAAAGAAAAAATCATTAGTTACTCAAGTGAGCATTATTACTAGCAAAAGTATGTTTTCTGACTAAATTATCCTGTATAAACCCCATCCTGCACTGGAATTAAGTCTTATTAAATCAATAAAGAATATATTTTCTTTTGGAAGGCAGTTAGAAGGGCTGGGGATGGGCAACTTCTGCCCTACTTAAGCTATGAAAGCTATATATAAATAATATTGGAAACAACTACAACTATCAAACAACAGGTTCTCTTAACATGACTGTCCACATATTCTATCTCCAGCAATCAAACTGTAATAGTCAGACAAAAAGGGACAGTCCAGTCTATCGTAAGTGGAATCTGAGCACTTTGCAGTAAGAAAGGTGAAATGCGTGGCATTTAGGGTAGTTACTTCTTTCAGACTCTGTAATCTCTATTAAAGATAAGTTTCTTAGAGATGACTATTAATTACTAATCCAACATCCAATCTAGTCCTCTACTGATGTTTCTGAAGTTTCAAGTTTAAGCAGAACGCACAGGCTCCATACCATTTTATAGTAGTCTATGTAGCTGATTTCAGAGCCATCTGCTTTTCTGAAGGTACACTTTGGATTGGCATCCCAGTCAATGTCATCAACTCTGTATGTTTTATTATTGTACCTGCAAAAAGACAAGACTCTTATCTTACATAATACCAACTATACTCATAGACTGCTAAATTAAGTCATTAATATCTAAAAGAGAAGAAGGAAAATGTATGTTACTAAGATTTCAATGAATGTTTTAAGAAACACTATGCAACATGTAGATATGAGCTGTAACGCCAAATCTTCCAGAATTTCTTTCTCTGTCAGAAATTCAGAGTTGGTTCTCAAAGATGGTACATCCCCCAAGTGTGTATCAAGCAATGGTACTAATATCATTGCCAAGTTGTGGGGTGTTTTTTTTTTGTTTTTTTTTTTAATGTTTATCATCAGTTAAGGAACAGGTGCAGCCACTATTTAAGCAGCCATTTCAAGTAGGAGGGTTTTAGACACATGGGAAAATATACTAATCAGTCTAACAAGAACCAGAATTAAAGCAAATTAAGCAATGATGCCCACTTGTTTTCACACTCACCTCCGCTAAATGAAGCATAACTGGCTCATATATAGCATGTTTAGTCACATTTTAAGGTTTTGTTTGCTAGGATACATTGTCAAGCAAAATGAGACTGTAAGATGCAAAAGCCGGAGAAAACAGCTTTTCAAGCGAATAACCACAATGAATACATCTCTTAGTCCGATACAAGCATCAAGAAGCATTAGCCAAGTCAGAATACTACACTAAGACACATTTTTCTGGCTCTCAATTATTTCTGGTAAACGCCACTATCATATCCAACTGTGCCATGTACTCTGTTACAACAGTCTACACCAACTGATGTGAAATAAACATTAGGGAAAAAACAAGTTGAAACATCTTACTTGGTAAGAACAATTAGACCTATCAGTTCTTTAGTACAGATATCTCTAAATCTTTGTTCTTCAACTTGATTATACAGATTGTACATGAAATCCAACACTGTTTCACTGCGAAGAACTTTATGGCTCACATCTGTACATAACATAATGCTTTTTTCATACTGTAGAATAGAAGTAGTGAAGCCCGGCCAAACCATCAGCCTGTCAAAAGAAAACATACAGAACCTTAGCAAGCGCTAAATTATCTGTATTTTCTCTCCTTATTTTTTTCAGTTTACCTCCTCAGACACTCAACGGCAGTCAAGATACAAAGAAACCATTATAAATATAAGCAAGATCCCAAAAGGCCCCCAAAAAAACATTTCTACTGCAAGTATCTTTAATTCCCTTAAGATAAAAGAGTAAATTAATGACGTGGCAATGCAAGTGACACAAACTACCACTTAGATAGAGCTATGTAAGAGCAGAGGATTCTGCAAAATCCAAGAAATTTCATAATTTTTTCAAATATCTTAAATAAAAAGCATGGGATAGGCAAAGGCCTTTTATCTACATTCTACAAAACTACTTCCACCAGATTACATAGGCAAATCCAATGGTAGAGTGTGCATTACAACTATATGAGCTGGCCCAGTCACACTGGAGCTTACTAACAGGTACAACAGGCCTAGGGCTAAGCAGAAGCAGCCTGACTTTTTATGTCTACAATTTTATTAGAAGACAAACCACCAAATTGATATCAATGTTTAATCTCCTCCTCCCTCTCTCTCCCCTCTCCCATTAAACCCAGAAACCTTTTATTCCAAACCTGTGATTAGGGATGCTGATTGGGTCACTGGGGTTGTAATAATTACGTCCAATTTGCTGCAAATTCATTATCTTCAAAAGTCTAGAAGTTGAAATAATTATGTCGTTATTATTCTGCCAAACCTCACTCAGCCCCATCCTTTCACAGAACATCCTCTGTAGAATTTTATTTTTGGTTCATCTCAATATATGAAACGAAGTCMCTAAATAAACTTCTGATTAAATAAAATGTAGAAAGACTACAGACACTTGCAAAGTCAATAACATCTAAGTAGTTGAGGGTAAGATTTGTAGATCATCCTTTATAAAGGGAACATTTGAGTCAAATATTTTCAAACAAGAGACATAAGTTGGAAAGTAAACCTTCTGAAAATTATGTTGTAGAACTGCAGGCATGTAGGTGAAGTAGGTGGCAGCTCATTAGTTAAGGTGATTGTTAACTTAACATCTTCTCCATTACGGGTCCTACTGAACACTTCAGTAACCTGAGAGAGCAAAGGTCAGTTAATAAAACTGCAGGCAAACAGGGCTGGAATTTGCTTTGCATTTACTTCAAAACTGAACAGTATCTGCACATTAAGACTCAAGGTAATTTCAAGACTTAGTAGGAAGTAAAATTCCTGTTTGGTCTATGAATGTGAACCACAATGCTTTAGAATGCTCGGYTCACTCAGATGAGCTTGACTAATTAAACAGAACTGAGGCCATTCCAAAGTATCTTCTACAAGCAGACAGCTTGGAACAAAAAAAAATTAGTATGGGTGCAAGACAAAGCGGTCCAGCCTTTCAATTACGTTGGATGTTAGAGTACACAACGTATGAAAAGACCAAGGTTGCAAGAAAATGCATGATAAAATGCAAGTCAATATAGAAAGAATACAGTATTCTCATACCACACCTTGTTGCCTARTTTTTTTGGCAAGAACAATATTGTCCCATCAAATGCATGTGTCCTTCCAATTAGCTCTTCATGCTGAAAGAGCAAAGCTGATCGGAGACGGCGTGCTTCCATTTGAGGGTTATAGTCGACATGATACTGATATAAAGCCCACTGGGGTCGAGACGTCAAGCGAAAATAATTTGTACTTAACCTTATCATAGCACCAGAGGAACCTAAAATGAGAGACAAATGYGTTAATAGTCATAGCATTTTTTCCTCCATCGCTTTATAGTATTTTAAGCGAATTTGGGCAAGTTTAATGTCATCAATCCAAAGATTAGACATTATTTCTTGCAGGAAAACTACTCATTTAGATGAGTAGCCTGTCTTTCAAAGGAGTAAAACCAACTACAATAAATTTCTGTCAGAAGGTAACAGTGAGCAGAAGGTGCGGAAAAAATACTTTCTTTACGTGAATCATATGCACAGAATAGAAACTTGTAGAAGCAAATCTTCAGAATCCAAATAATTCTGGCTTGCCAGGATTGCATGYTAGAGAAACAAAGCTAAACATTTGACAGTTTGCTTCACTTGTGGCATAGAGAGAAAGAAACTGATTGTCATATTGCTCTGAAGCTTCAGCAAGATTCAAAATCTCACCAAGGGTTAGTTCAGAAGCCTTTAAATTTAAAGTTGTCAAGGCAAAAAATACTGTCCTCAAGGGAAAAATAATAAGAAACCATACAAGCCTAGAGTAGCAATTTCACTAAGTTTTTAACTTGAAGATAGGTCTTGCTTGGACAAGTGCACATCAGGAAAACCAAAGCATTGTTTCTATCTAACCACTTAGAATTTAAAGCACTACTCAATTTGCCTGAAATACTTCAGCATAAGACGCCACCAAAATGTTTCTCTTCAAATATAAGAAGGAACTTCTTTTCTTTTTTAAACACAATGAAGAAGTGTTTAGTTCACTCTCTAAGTGATATTGTAATACCAATACAGTCCATTCTGATTTTCAAATAAAAGCTATAGCAGAAATAAAACAGAACATTTTTGGTTTGCTTTTAAAACTGTATATAATATTAACATACCTGTTTTTGATTCTCGAACATGTTCTATAGCTTGGCGAGTATTAACACCAAGGTCGTGAAAGTCTCGACGACGTCCACCTCTATCTCCTAAAGACATTTCTTGAAAGCCTGCTGAAATCTGAAATTCTGAAATTTGGAAATTGGGGAAGGTCAAGAATGACAAAGGAGATTTAGATACAAATTTGAATTAAACATAGTTTTAATTTTACATGGATCTTGCTTTCAAAATTAAGAGAAACTACAAACAGTTAAATTCCAGCTTTTGTTATATAGCAAACACATCAAAACATAGCACTCACATAATATGTATTAGCTTCTTAAGAATTACAGACAGTTAATGATTAGGCAAAATAGCTGGTTAGCCACCTGAAAAAACAATCTTAAGTATATAACATCTGAGTCAATAATACTTTTGGTCAGAGACGACACATCCTTCATAGCAGCTTCAGTGAACTCACTGAATTGCTTAAAGGCACTGTGATGTGAAAAAGGTAGTGAAAGCTGYACTTACAGATTCCAATTCAGTACCATCCAAACGAAGTTCATCGCTGTGTAATTGACTATGTCAACTGCTATTTATTTTTAAACTATTTTGATAGAGGAAATGATGTTCTGTTTAAGCTCAGCACATTTAAGACAGTTTTCAAAATCYGAATTCATTTATACAGCACATTAGAGGAGCAATACCATGAACACAAAAATACATGTACTTTCCAAATCTTAGTCAAGAATCTCAATTTGAAGAAGAAAAAAAAAATAGACATATAATATATTATACAGAATATATTAACCGCGTTCTGTCCAAACCCATGTTCTTGTGGKCAATAAACTTCATTTTCCCCCTTCTCACCTTCTGGTCTCGAAGCTCCTGGAGGTCCTCTCTGTCGCCCGCGGCCAGCAAGCTCTCCTGCTGACAGGAGTGGCGGGAGACAGGGCTGCTGAGGCTGCACATGGCYGGACTGCTGGCTTGGCAAAGGCTGCTGACCCTGCAAAGCCTGCAACAGTTGGGAACAACTTTTCCTACTACAAGTGAAGAAATAACATCCCACCGAGAGTGATGCAAAACAAAGCCACTAACCAGTCCCAGAATACCCCACCTCCAGGAACAGGAAAAATCTGTACATCACTTAGCAATATTAAAGTTATCCTCAGCTTCATAACTAGTATTATCAACTACAAAAATCAGAATGACTCCTCTGCATGTCAAACTCCAAAATGACAGGCTTTTACAATTTTTTTAATCCTTAGTCTGATTAATCATTTAACCGGTAATAAATGTAGTCTTCCGAGCCCTATACAGTCTTCAAATTTAAAATTAACATATCCTCTGACACTTCAAACAAAAGACTTATAGATATATATAAAATACATATATACACACACACACACTCACACATAAAAAACAGATCTTGTAACTGTAGTGTCCAGTGAACTTAAAAGTATTAAAACTGTCACATCGCAAAGAATACTTAGGAATATACTGAACCATTTGGAGATTCCCCTTGCCTCCCCCCCCCCCCAAAAAAAAAAGCAAGCTTCCAATGGAAGATGAAAGGGGAAAAAACAGATTTATTCCACTCAGTGACTACCACACAACCTGCAGCCAAGAGCAATCCTACACTTCACAGTTTTGCTTTATAAGTAACCGCAAAATGGCAGCCTGCCACAGGAGTGTGGTTAGTCCCTCCTGCTGAGGAACTAAATCTTCTTTAAGTGGAAACAAGCAACAGGCCAATATCCAGGATGATTCCGAAACCCGAGCTACAGAGCCAGCCTGGCCTTGTCCTGTCCTACAACAAATCACTGGAGCCAGTGTCATAACCTGCCAGCAATATGTCCTGAATCTGCTCTACTAGATGAGAAGGAACATATCCTGTGATTCCCTATGCAGGTTCTGACATTCAACACAGCTAAGTAACTACACAAGCTTCTCTGCTTTCCTCTGCTCTTCACCTAGTTTTAACTCATAGCACATCGACAGCATACCCTCTGGACAGTCTGTCAAGATACCCATAAGCCTTACCGCAGAAATTTACTGTGCACAATCCCATGAAGTACCTGTTAAAATTATTAGGGTACAGTACAGCCAAAGTAACAGCTATTACCACAAGCCTTGCACTMTTTGTGGCACTCAAAATAGTTCTGAAAAGACGAGTTCTGCTCCTATCCTCTACCCTTGCTCTGGCAGGCAGCTTCAGGGTCACCAGTCTGGCTTCTCTAATCCAACTGCCAGACACCGACACCAGCTATCCCAAGATAACCCATGCTKTTGGTGGGCAGACTGTACTCCCAAYCAKGCAAGGATTAGGAAGAGATTATTCTGGCTTAGAAATTATGATACTTCTGTGACAGTTCAGTACAAAAGCCAAATACTATAAAACAATTCTGCTTTATATGTTTGGCTGTTTCCACCTTCCTCTGCAATCAGTAAGGATTTAAATCCTTTCCTTCATTCTGCCCCTTCCTTTATTCTGGATGGCTCTATCGGGACAACTGTATTACAATAAAGCCCTTGTCTGTAATCACACAAAATATATTTAATCAAAAGATCTAATGCAACGACATACCTGATACTACATATTTACATGCAACATTAATAGAAAGTGGCTGAGCTTGCCATTTCAAACCTTAATGAAGCTAATTAAAAAGAGAATCCACTTACAGATACAGCTCCTACAGAAGGAGGGGCAGCCTCCTGTCCTCGGGGTCTTCCTCTGGCTCTGGCTCTGGCTCTTCCTGTCATTTTCTCTTCTAAGGCAAACCACCAACTGAATTAGTGTTTGGGCTGCTTCTCCCACTGTCTCACTCCTGTAAATATTATAAGCAACACTATTACATTTGTCTTAATTATACTATGGATGGGGAGGGTGAAACRATTTCCTACCCAACTTAAGGTACGTAAGTTTTCATAAAATCTTCCCAGGGATACCTAAAGCAATAACCTTACCCAAGGGCAAACTGGGGCGTGCTGGTGCTCAGGGCTCACTGAAGCCTTAACCCAGCATGACTCATTACCTGAGGGGCAGTTTTCATTTCAGTGAGGCCTGGTTATTTCAGTGTGGCTCCCTACAACCCAACCGCCTTCCCCATGCAAGGTGACCCCTCCAGCAGCCTCTGGGGCCCTGTTGCTGGAAGACATCGCTCCCCTGCTGCTCTGCACGGCCCCAGCATGGATGCTCACCCCACGGTACCTCAGCAAGCTGCAGAACCGCACAGGGCTCCCATACAGCACAACACACYCTCCAAACGACGCCACGCAGCCTGCTCCCACTGGACGCCAAGAGCTGCCTCTGCAGCCGTCCCACTTCCCCCGGCCGGGCTCTCGGGACGCTTCTCCAGGGCAGCCAAGGCCGCGCCGCGAAAGCCCGCGAAAGCCCGCGAAACCTCGCGCCGCGCACGCGCACGCGCAAATGGCCCTCGCGGGCGCGCAGCCCCTCGCGCCGACCGCGCGGCCGACCAATGGCGCGAGCGGAGGAACACGCGGTCCGCTCTGATTGGCTGCGGCGCGACGCCGAGTTCGAGGCGCGGCGGGCGGAGCCGAAAGTTCTCGGAGGCGCTGAGGGGAAGGCGGCGGGGAGGGAGGGAAATGGCGGCTCCAGATTTTCCCGCCTGTCACGGAGGGCAGGGCGCCGCCGCGCCTGCCCCGCTTGCTTCCTCAGGCGGTTAATAAAGCCGGCGCCGGGTGTTTTATTAAACAACAACGACGTGTCGTTCTGGAGGTGGGGAGGACCCGATTAGCGGCGCTYCTCTCCCCGTCCGGCCCCTGAGGCGAGTCGGGCGCCTCATGGATGCCTAGGTTTTTTGCTGTGGTGTCGTGTGCTCTGYCCACACTCGTGAGGTGGCGTTTGTACCCGCCATGAGCTCGCCAGAAATAGTTCTGAAAAGAACTTATTTAGGAAAAAAAAAAAATTTTTTTTTTTTAAAAAAGACTTGAGTGTTTTAGTCTCACAGAAGTTGCCTTATTTGCGTCTGTCCCAGTAACATCAATGGAAAGCGTGATGTGGAGAGGCCCTGAGAAGAGACTAATGTGACATTTGCCACAGGAGAATTTTCTATTTTAAAAGGCAGCACACCTCAGCTCTTGGTTGGAAAAAAAAAAAAAAAAAAAAAAAAAAAAATATTGTGTAATTCAGCCAGGAGGTGGAGCAATGAAACAAGGAATAAAACACAGTATGCCTGGGACAGGCTGCGTTTGTCAGTGAGGCTAGCTAGAATGCTGGTTAAATTTGGCTTTTTAGAAAGAATACATATGCAGTATGGACATGAAGAGATAGAAAGGGACATAATTGACAGGACATAACTTATTAAGTGTCAACAAATTAAGCAAAACGCATAAGCAATTATCCCTATATAGGGACAAACTCTTCCACAATCAGCTAGGAGAAAAAAAAATCTTAAGTTTTAAGTGTCATTGAAACACTATGCTATTTTATAGAGAATTGCAGCTTCTGTTTTATCTCCTTTTATCTCTATCTCCTTTGCAACCAAACTCTCTGAGCTCATGGGAAGCAGCCTCACTGCTTAGCTCTGCAATTTAACTCTATACGGTGGCTTTTCTGTGCTTGTCTAGCAATGAGGAATGTCTAGACACCACAGACGCTGAAGTGCACATCGCTACTTAAGCTTAAAGATTAGATACCTAATGCATCTGGAGACACTGACTTTAAGGGGCAGGCGATAACCCTGTGTAGTTAAAGTCTAACTTTATAAAAGACCCACTTGATCCTACTAGGCCAGCCAACTGCGGGGAACGGGGCAAAATGTSCCTTTTCTTTGTTCTGTCTTACCCCAGGTAGAAAGGGGTGCTAACATTCATGCTTAAATCGTCCAAATATCCTCATTTGTTTGATTTAAGTTGTCAGTTTGTCTCCAGATTCAGTCTTCGTGTGCTTCTGGTTGTCTCTAGCCCATACAGGAAACCAAATTCTTTCCTACAGAATAAAATCCTTAAAAATATKAAAAGTTAAGTGTTGATATTGCTGCTTAAAGCTGAAGCACTTTTCAGCATGTTATTTTTATTACTCAAATATAAAACTGGATAAATATTTAACAAATTCAACACATACACTTAGATGAGGCACACTCTCTGCTTTTAAGAGCCCTGATTACTTCTTGCCGTGGGCTTTTTACCGACAGTGGGAACTTTTATTACTTGGCACCCTGCAGGACTCTCTGGCAGGTCAGAGGGTTAAAGCTGCAGAATCTGCACAGTATGCAAATTTTGTTAGTAGTATTAAAGATAAAATGTGAAGATGCAGTTATTTATTTTATGTAAATCAGAAAAAAAACCCTAAAATGTGTGGGGAAAAAAAATGTTTGTTTATTCATTTAGAATATCTGCCATGCTCAATGACTTGGCAGATTCCTTCCATTGCTCTGCAGATTTTAATTTTAGATGTGAGCTGTTAAAAGTACCTAGTCAGGCTGGCTACCTACAGCATCTCCTCATAAAGTGAAAATAAACATCAGCAACAAGCACCCTAATTTTTATTCGTGGGTTGGAAGACAGTTAATTAATACCTAATGAAAGATGGGTTCCAATTTGGCTTTCTCAGCCTTTCAGACTTTTTTTTTTTTTTTTTGATTTATAGTTGCACATGGGGCTCCATAGTTGAGCTTACAGAATTTTCAGTCACAAGAAATGTGTAAGTGGCAGCGCACCAATTTCAACAGGTGCCCCATGCACTTTTTGAAAATGGTAGCTGTTTGCGTGGTTTTTGTTTTGTTTTGCCTAAATCTGCCAATGCTGGACTTGAACCCATTGAAATATCACATACAAAGTAATCTCTTTCAGATCTCCTTGGCTCACGCTTTGCTTTGATGTCTCCTTTACCCGTGATGCAATTGCTTTTGCCTTCTATCTCCTGTTGCTACAATAAGCCATTTCCCATACATGTCATCTCCAAAGGGGAAAAGACTGCATGGAAACAGAACAAAGAAAACAGAACAAAAGAAAATCGGGGAATTTTCCAAAGGCCCATTTGATGTACAAGTATAAACAGGAAAAAGATGCCTGAGGAGGTGGGAGCCAGGAACTGCACTAGCAGACAGCTGTTAACTTATGTAGTTAGCAGCACTCTGGGATTCTGAATGGTAAATAAATATGTGGTGTGAATGCACAGACTGAAGAAAATGTTCCCTTCAGTAGCTTTAGTATCCTCTTTAATAAGAGTGTTGCAAACTCTCAGCAGTATATTTTGAATACAGTTAATAAAAGGTATATTAATGCAAGTCCTGCTCTCACGTTCTTGTAACACCGAGTAGTTTTGAAGTCCCAGTGTTGGTAGCTGTCTTGATAGCTTGGTTCTAGCCCCAGAAAAGAGAATACTTCCAGATACCAAGAATAAAGAGTATTGTTATCTATGATGAAGCATAAAAATGCAAGAACAGTTAGCAACAGAACAGATGATGCAGTCATCATACTTGGGGCTAAATTTTCAGGAGCCCGGAATGTTGGTCCTGAACTTCATTGAACATTGGAAAAAAAAAACAAATACAAATTGCTCAAAAAAAAAAAATTAAACTTGTCAATTCAGGTTTCTGTTCTAGATAACATGTACTCTTGAGTCTGGATGACAGTGTTTTTAGGTTGTTAAATGTTATTTCTAAAGTAAGAGAGGCAAGATCTGAAATAATATCTCACGAGTTAACAATTTTGCTTTTTCACAATGAGAGTTTTTAAGGTCATATTTAATTTACTATAATTATACTTGGGATAGAGGCAAAGATCTGCTTACTCAGTAGCACCTGGTTTACTTACTACCAAGGGTGGAGCTTGGGAGGCAGGGAAACTATTATTTATGTACCCAAACAAAGCAAAAGGCATGTTACAGGAAAAAATATGCTACTGAAGAGGTAATACCCAACTGCATAACAAATACAATACATGCAATTTCTTGCATGTATTGCAAATACAATACATGCAAGTGGAGGAAAAGTGTATTTTTCAATTCTGGATTTCCGCTACTGCTTTCTAGTCTCTTCTTTCATCCCTAATTTCTGTTTCTCATTCATGACCTTACTTGTTTTGTCTGAACCCTTTATTCTTTGTAGCTTTTCTTATAAAACGTCACTCTAATCTTGGGCTCTTCCTAGGCCTGTCTCTTGTTCCCCTTGACAACAATATGTTTTGCTACAACAGGAGCAAAGTGCTTCTCTTCTTCATGCGCTGTCTTTACCAGGGTAACTAGTCAGCACAGTTAACACCACTCGTCAGTCCAAGAAGGCCTTGTCTTGCCAGGCAGCACCTTGAGCCCTCTTTCCCAAAAAGAAAATGGCCTCTTCCTTATAAATCCTTCCTACGATTGCCATTCTGTATTGACTGCTCTATTTTCTGTTCAATTCCAATTTCATATCTGTCCTAGCTGACRTCGAATTTGTATCCAAATCCTGAATGAAGTGACCAAGAAGAGTGATTAGACATAAGTTGATAATAAATAGTCACATTAAGTAGAGTCAAATTAAACAGAGACAGGAACAAGGCTTCTAGAAATTAATACCACAATTAGTTTTGTAAAGCATATTATATAAATCGTTATGAAATTAATAGGATTCACTCCTACCCTTTCTTATCTACATTTTTATGTAAAAAGAAGAGGTGGAGAATTAGTGTATGGCATACACAAGGAAACAGACTTTTGTTTCTGGCATTATATAGTAAATTAGTCTAAAAAGGAACGGGACAGATTCAGGAGGCACACTAACAAGAATTCTCAAGATTATATAGATAGATATCAGCTCATTTGGCAAGGTAGTTTGATCTAATTGTCTTCTTATTGCTATGAACATCCCTGAATTATGCAGAGAATTTAGGTTACATGATTTACTGTTGGATTAAAAAAAAAAAGTCACAGCTTAACTTTCTTTAAAATAGTGTAGAACTTTGTTCACAGTCAACAAAGTTCATTATTTTTTTTTTGTTCAAAGCCCAGCTGCAGGCCTGGAGCATTTCTCATAAATATCAGGAAGTACCCGAAGCCACAGTCAGGATTAAAGAGTTGATCTGAACCTTAGATCTCAGCTTTAAAGCTGTAATGTACAGTGAATTTGGTTTCATGGTAAAGGAAATGGTAATTGCTGAAGTATGTTTTCTTAAGTAGCAAAATCATTTTTGAAATGTTTTCTTTGAAATCTGTGTCGGCACCGTRCATGAGAATGAGTGGCCTTGCAGCTCAGCATTGACGTATGACCACAGCACTGAATTTGTGTATTGATGTCCCTGATACAGGGACAGTGAGTCATGTTGTTATTCCTTTGAGCACAACATTTTACTAAAATAATCAGGTCTAGAGTCACAATCTGCAAGCTAGTGAATTAACAAGCTCATTACAACAATTTCAATAATATCTTCTGAAAGATGGGT